GGCACAAACCGCCAAGAACAGGAAAAGGTTAGCTTTGCCCGCCATGAGCCGCCGTTCTGATGATTCAAATTTGTCGATTGCTGACAAGATGAACGTGCGGGCTCTCAAGTCGGCCGGTTTAAAGACCGTGCCCCAACAGAGCAACATGTCGGAGTGGCTTGCTTTTCGGAAGTGCCTTGATGTTCAGGGGGATAGGCACGCAGGGTGGGAGGACATCTTTTCCACGGTCCTCGCTTCGTCAACCATCCTGGCGCAGGGCAACAGAACAGAAGACCTTGAGTTGGCCGCAGGATTCATGCAGTGTTTTACTGCGCAGTCAATGTCAACTGACGCCCTGACGAACGTGCCGTGGGCAAAGGAGATCCGCCATCTGTCTGAGTTGGAACATGACTCACTGTGGGATCTGAGCTTGCCTACTGAGTACGTCCCTGGGACATCAAGGCCGGCGGTAGACGTCGTGCCCACCATCTATGTGGTGACTTCTGATTCAACTTTGGCTCTGATCACTGGAAAGGGTAAGACTTTGAAGAAGTACACCTTGAAGGAGGATCTGGGATTGCGAAAGTCAGACATGGTTCTCGAAATCGGTCATGACATGCTCTGGGGTAAGGATTTGCAACAGCTCTGCAAAGCAAATATTTCCATGGTCAAGGAGCTGATGGCGAAATATTCTTCTCATGGTTCAGCCATCAGGGTTATTTCGGTAATCTTTTGGTCTGGGAATGAAATTTGTGGGGAATATGGTGTTGAACCCCTTCCCATTTGGGGGCAGAGGGAACCACAGGGTGACTGGAATGCCATCATGGACAGGGTCAAAGGCAACATCGTTTGGTGGAACAATCAGCTCAAGGAGTTGGGAGTGGATCAGGCCGCCCTAATCGGCGAACCCGACCCGCTCACTTATGGATTGAGTCTCATCTTCACGACGTTTATTGATCGTCTGAAGGAATGGTTCCACAAGGAGATTGCCAGTGACAACGATCGGATTCGGTGGATCAAGAATGACATGCTCCCACCGAGGCTTGAGCTCAGGGACTACTTTCACGCATTCGAGACCGAGCTCAACCAGAGTGAAATGATCGGATATGTCATGGCAACTCTCCACATGTTGCACATGACGGACATTTTGATCCCTCAGTACAACCTGTCTTTGTACAAGCGCAGGCGCCCTGCAGGTGAAGCTACGATGCGTGATGTCACACCGAAGATGGAGCACCTCCCAGTCAGGTTTGTGCAGGTTCTGAATTCTCTCCGGGAGAAGGTGAACAAGCCTGCACCGAGCGTCTCGACCCCAGAAAGCTTCACAGCAGAGGAGTTGAGAGCTCGCCCGACTGATGCTGGTGTCGCCGAAGATGATGATGAAGAAGGCGACCCATGGGATGCTCTGGATCCCGATGAGCACGAGGGCCCATCTGTTGGCAAAGCCAAGGCAAGCCACGCAGCTCCGCCTGACCCCAAGGCGAAACCTCAGACGACGCAGGAGGATTCAACTCAGGCCACCTCAGCTGGTGAGCCCCTGCAAGAAAACGAGATCAAGGGTACCATCATTCCGAAACACGCACTTGGACACCTTGACAAATATCGTATCACTTTGGACGAAAACATAAATGCAGAAGTAGTTGAACATTGCGTCGTTGATTCCCATCCCTACGAATTGATCGTCAAAACCTGTTGGGAGATGGATGGGGCAAAAGAGCTGAGGTTCCCAGATCGCATGGACCGACACAAGACTAAGGTCAATGCAGTGACACGTGGACAGCCGGGTCAGGACACCTCTGGATTTGATGAAAACATGTGGCTTGACCTTGATGATTTCTTTCGAATGTTCAACCAAATGCTGCCAGCCAAGTTGCCCCGAATGACAGTTGAAGAGCTCATCTCATTGCTCTACTGGGACAGCAAGTGCCGTTTTGAGTTCCAGTGCATTGCCGGGTACCAGAAGGCAACCCGTAAAGGGTTAGCCTACTGGCCCATCAGGATCCGTGCAGTGCAGGGGCATACGAAACGTGCCATGAGTGCCGCTTCAGCTGAGGACACGTTCAATGCAGTGGAAATCTATGCTCTGTCTGGAGCAGCAGCGATCCAGAAAATGAACGCCAAAGGTAAAAAGATTACCACTCCTCAGATGTGCCCTGGCGTAGTTTATCACAGGACTACAAAAGGCAATTGGAAGGGCATCATTGAGAATGGCTTCGTGGCTGGAGGAGGAGAACGAAATTCATCAGGCAGAGCTCACTCCTATTTTAGCGATGTTCGAGTCGATGAGAACGAGTATGTGAGCGGGTTGCGTGCTGAAAGACCCATTGAAATCAGGGTAGCAATGGCTGAAGCTGTCAAAGCTGGCATTGTGTTTTTCAGGACGGCCTCTGACGGCATTTTGACAAGTGATGTCGTACCGCCTCAATACATTATCTCTGTCGATGACACTGCCAAGAAGGTGAATTTGTATCGTCGCCAGCAGGAGGTCGCACAGTCTGCAGCGAGCAGTGGGGGAGAAGTTGGAGTCCAGCAGCTCGTCGAGACCTTTGAGGCAAAGGCATCAAAACGGACTGGTTCCACATCTCCGGCCGCCTCAACTGGCGCGCCCACTGCAACAGCATTTTTCCCAGGGAAGGTGAAGCCTCCGCCACCAAATGTGGCCCAACTTGCCGGTATGCCTGGATATGCAAGCAGCAGATTGTTGCCCCCTCCTCCGAAGGGTGAAGCTCCAAAGCCTCCTGCAGCAAAGGTTGAAGGCCCAAAGACACCGCCAAAGGCGCCTCCAAAACCATCACCGAAGGAAGGGACTTCTGCACCTCATGCACCAGAAGTTCCAAAAGCTGTGACCTCAGAAGTTGATGCAGCAGCAAAGGATGAACCTGCAAAGAAGAAGGCAGCCCTGACAAGCGTGCCCGCAGCTGTGCCTGCGGCATCATCAGCTGCGGCCTTCTTGGAGCCTGTTCCAAAAGTTGCACCGCCAAAGGCAGTGCAGAAAGATCCAAAAGCTCCAGTTGCAGAGTCACCCAAAAAGACGCCAGCATCAACATCAAAGTCACTGGTGCCAAAGCAGAAGTCTCGCCCTAAAGGCGATGACCAACCTTCGAAGAAAGAGGTGAAGAAGGAGGACAAGAAGCCGGTGCCGGTCAAGATTGAAGTCACGCAATGTTCAAGATGTTTTGCACAGACTTTCAAGGGACAGATTGAATGCGATGTGTGTGGATTGATGCTCGAAGGGGTGAACAAGGCCGACCGAACCAAGATTGCAGAACGAAGGAAGGCCGCCCTTCACAAGCTGGGCTTGTACTATGATTTTCGTGGTGAGTACCTGCAGAGCATCACACATGGTCAGCTTGAATCTTTGGGTTTGTTGGACGACCAGGCAAGGGGAAGCTCAAGTCCGGAAGCCGGTTTGTTGGCAAGGGCGAAGAGTCGTTTCGACCGTGCCTTGAGCTTAGGCTATGTGTCTGTGGCTGACAGGTTTGCCCAGGACGCCACATTCGCAGAGAGCGTGTTGAACGAGGGGGAGAATGAGTACGATTGTGAAAGGTACGACCTCCTCAAGTCAGCACATTTGCCAAAGCCGGGTCGTACCAAAGCTCAGGTCAAGATGGGTGTTTCTGAGCAATCTCAGCTGGAGCACAATGCGATGAGGCTGGTTTACTTGGATTTGGCAAGCCGTCTTGATGTCCCGAAATCATTCAGGTACATTGACCAACCATGGTTCTACATGTACCGTACGGAAATCTACTCAGAAGAAGAGTACATTGACTACCTCAACCGGAATCCTGGACACAATCTTTTGTTGTCTTGTACTGGTGTTGACAACATTGCCGTTCATGATGCAGAACGTCATTTGAGGTGGATTAAGGGACAAAATGAGGAGCTGTACAAGCAGAACGCAGCAGAGAAGAAGAAACAGTCTGACAGGGCCCGCGAACAGAACGAGGCCAAGCGCAAAGCTGAGCAGACTGGTGCGTACGGCCAGGGTCCCTCCAAGAAAGGCACCGCCAAACCGGTTGCCCGACCATCCACCGTAGAGGTAGCTTCATCATCAACGTCTGCAAGTCAGTGGATCAACCGCCCTCAGCAAAGTCAGTCCCACGATGATCGCCGTTACACTGGAGAATGGCAGAAGTGGCACGGGCGCTGGTATGAGAAAGTTATCAGGCATGGCCGAGTTGAGTGGGAAGAGGGATAAGTTGTGAAACTGCTTGCATTGACGATCGGTTTTTGTATCATAGCCGCTGTTTGGGTTTCCTCAGGTCGTGCAAAAGAGCCAGGAGCGGTAAGGCAGGTCTTAAAGACCTCGCCCTGGTAAATGGGCAGTCTTGCCGTGACCGGCTCACCTGAGGGGGGTGTATTTTCACTCCACTATAAAACCCATGTATCATAGATATGCGTACGACAGCAACGCGGCTCAGTCCAAAAAGGGTTTAGCTGCTAGCTTAACGGTGTTTTGTGTAGTCTTCTAGGTTTATCAGTCTACTTGGGTATAACTAGGTTAACCCCAGCTGAAACCTGAAAATACAGTTTGAAGTGTACCCTCCCATAAACCAGGGAAAACCTCGGAGTGGACACCTTAATCATCCAGGATGGAGCTCGGGATCGATTCCATTTTTTCAGGGGCACAGAGAGGCTGTGCCAATTGTTATTATGTTTCTATATATGTATATGTATATGTATATGTATATGTATATGTATATGTATATGTATATGTATATGTATGTATATGTATATGTATATATGTATATATGTATATATGTATATATGTATATATGTATATGTATAATATGTATAATATATATATGTATTATATACATAGATGTAGTTTCTTGTAGTTTTATAATTTGTCAGTGGGCTTGCCTGAAAATAGGGTAGCTCAAAATCTGATGGTTTATCATCAGCGTAACATTTTTTTCGATGGCCATCAAATAGGCCATTATTCTAAAACACGCCAACGTACTTTTTGCCCATAGTTGCGATGAAATTTGCCTTTCATCCGCGTTTCTGAAATGCTCCAGGCATCACCTGTTGTACTCCACTGTCAATGACAAGATGCAAAAAAACGTCCGGTGGGGGGCCCGATGTCTTGAAACACCACCAACTTCTGAGGATCGGCGGAACTGTGTAGTTTGAAACAAGGGAACAGTTTCTTTAGCTAACAAAATGAAACACAAAACAATGAAAACTTTTTTTCAAACAGACTGGGGTGCCAAAAGTTAGCTCACAGGTTGTCTTGGGAGTTTGATATTGTAATTATATTGTACTTGAATGTCATCACCCATTCCATATCAACATACCAATAGAAGCGATTTGGAAGTGTTAATGCTATTAATTATTTGATTTTGATGCCTGAAAAGCCATTGGCCCAAAAAAGCTTTAGGTACCAAACAATAATTGTGGCCCATATAGTGGTATACCTACGCGGTGGGTATGGGTCGTCGAGTCAAAATGGGCTGCCCAATGCTGCCCAAAATGAACACGACCGGTCCATTTGTGGTCCCTTAAATTTTGACCAAGACCAACCCAATACCTATATTTCTTCATATTTCTGTATATATGTAATGGATACCCAGCTCTATGCAGTCCCAATATTGCTGTTAAAACATGTTAAAACCATGTTAAACCATAATTTTATTGGTTCAATTCCAGCTTTCGTTGGTTGAATCCACTTTTCTTGCTGGTCAAACCCTGATTTTCGTGAACCTCCCCACTATTTTTGTTACTTTAAATCCAGGTGTTTGTTGCTCAAATAGATGAATTTGCCATTAGCCCCAGTCCAACCTCCAACGGTCCCAGACGACCGGGACCCCCAGAGCCGAGCCCAGGGCATATTTCGATCGTCCGCGTGAAATCGATGCGTATGGCACGCGCTATGACGACCCCCTGAGGAACGCATCGGCTGGGCTGGGCTTCAATGGCTGGTCATGGCTGGTTTCAAAAAGCTGACAACCCGTTGTCGCGAGCTATCCTGGATTTGCTGAAGATTTTTTTAATGATGATAGGAAATCCATGATAGATCCATAAAAAACATATTAAAAAAATATCATGGTTCTTCCCATAGATTTTCTTCCAGTGGGAAATCCACTTGGGGAATCTAAAAGGGAATATGTTTTTGTTGGGGGATTCCTTCGGCAAATCCACGGCTACTGGGGGGTTGACCTATCGATGACCTGCCATGCAAGAAATGCTGTCCTCAAAGCATCACAAGAAATCTCGCAGCTTTGAGTTCCAGTACTACATAATATGTATATATATAATATAATATAATGTAATATAATATGATATGATATGATATGATATATTATATGATTATGATAGTATACATATGATATGATGTAATATAATACAATATAATATAATACAATATAATATGATATAATATAATACACGATAATATAATATAATATAATACAATATAATACAATATAATACAATATAGTACAATATAATACAATATAATATAATATAATATAATTTAATGTAATATAATATAATAATATAATAAAACCTAATATAATATAATATAATTTAATGTAATACAATACAATATAATATAATATAATATATAATATATATACGCATTTGTTCTGCAAACATATATATATAATTATATATATATATAATTTGACTTATTAGAAATTATTTATATATGTATATAATATAAATATAACACATAATATACTGCCATATACATACGGTAAGAAATATGAATCGATGATAAATGTTGATAGATCATATGCGCCTAGCTGATATAGAGATAACACACACACATTTATAACCTAGGCATTAGGAGAAAGATATAGCCATGGTTAGACAGATACTCTAGGATATAGGATATATATATACATAACATACATTGCCACTAGGATATACATATATATATAAAGATTTAGAAATGTGTATATATATATATACACTGTATATGTATCTAAATATAAATATATTGTTTATGTATATATATAGATATAATCTCCTCAGATTTCGCTGTGTAGGACCATCTGGCAGCTAGACACGCCCATCGCGGCGCCGCCCCCGGGCACCTCAGTGCGGGGCCAAGATGATGAACAGTTGCCCTATGAGTGGACAAAGAAAGTGGATAAAGATGTGATTTAATAGTGATTTAATAGTGATTTAATAGTGGTTAATCATGGTTAATTGTGATTTATTGGTGATTAATGATGATTAATGGGATATACCCTCTGGTAAATAGTGGTTAATCATAGTTAATTGTGATTTATTGGTGATGAATGATGATTAATGCCAACACCGGATTAATAACCCCCGCCCCCAGAAGGTAGGGGGGTACCTTCTGACTGGTTTTCTTGACCACCCCTTAATAATAAGCAACTCTGAACCATAAACATTTGGATATGGCTTGAGTCAATAAGATCATCATAGAATTCCATTGGATTTCATCAGAGCCCATTGGATTTCATAAGATTTGATACTTAAAATCTCATAAATCTCATCAGATCCCATTGGATTTCATAAGATTTGATACTTAAAACCTCATGAATGCCATTAATAAATATATACTTAATGTCAAGTGAGGATTAATTAATCAACCCCCTGAGATAATTAATACCTATGGATTAATAACCCCCACCAAGCAGCCCCCCTGGTTGGGTAAACCAACAGATTCCTATGGGGAAAGATTTTAGATAAAAAAAATGGATTTCCTAAACCGCAGCCATTTTGGCTCTTTTTCAGCACCCCTGGTTGGGTAAACCAACAGATTCCTAGGGGGAAAGATTTTAGATAAAAAAAATGGATTTCCGAACCCGCAGCCATTTTGGCTCTTTTTCAGCACTCCTGTTTGGGTAAACCAACAGATTCCTATGGGGAAAGATTTTAGATAAAAAAAATTGGATTTCCGAAGTGGTGGTTGATTAATCGGGGGTAGGCCCACCGGTTTATTAATCTGGGGGGACCACCTGTTTTTAAATTACATTTTTTTTTTGGGCAATGGTGGTTGATTAATCCGGGGGGGATTATTAATCCTCACTTGACATTAATGGGATATACCCTCTGGTTATGTCAACAGTTTGCTATTGAACATGGCCATAGAAATATTGGATTTTCCCATGAAAAATGGTGATTTTCCATAGTTATGTTAGTTTACCAGAGGGTACACAAAATGTGTAGTGCATAATTTACTGTTTTTTTTTGAAATATTCACCTATAACACTATTCTACCGACTGTTTATGTGATAAATCTAGTATTTAGATAATACCATATAATGCTCATTGTTTGAAAAATATGTCATTTTTTGAAAAGAAAAAGTCCGCATTTTTCAAAATGATAGTTCAGGTATCAAACTTATGAACATTGTGTGCTTGAACAAATTGGTTAGTCATAAATCTACAGATTTCCATTTTTGTAGGTGCACTATTGAAGTAAACATGCCAGAATTGACATGAATATGGTTTCATGATAGCTGATGGTGTTAAAACCATGATACCTTTTGTTGTTTCAACTGGACCATTGAGATTTGGTTGGTTCACGAGGGTTGGACAAATACTCTATTATGATCTATTATGATTAAGTGTCAAACTTCGTTCGTTCAATATATTGTACTAATGAAATGAATCCATCGAAATTGGTTGAGTGAACATATGTTCATGAACCTATCGGAACCCCGGAACCCTATCATTGAAAATTGTTTGGATCAGCAGACGTTGTTTCTTCATACAATATTGAGGTGAATATGCCAGAATTGTCTGAACATTTTTCTATGATACTTCATATATCCACCCAACCATTTAAACACCATTGGCTAAACATTGCAATACTGAAATGAACCTATCAAAATTGGTTGAGGTGGAGATCTTAACAAGCTTGATCTCAATCTAAACCATTCGAGAACTATTTTTTGAAACCAACCTTGAAATTGAAATGTCAGTTTCTTGAAATGGTTGGGTTTATGAAAATGGTAACATGGGAGCGTCTGAAAATATTCCGGGCGTTCAACGGCCATCTGCGGTAACTGGGAAAACATCATGAGAGCCCACCCGGTGAAAAACGATGATTGCAAAATCATCAATTCCGAATCTTGGTTGGTTATGTGATGTCATATGTTCCAAATCTGCTGAATCTATCATGTTCTATCATTGTTTCTCATCCCTTTGATGCCTGTTCGGACGCATTTCAATTCCTTTGGAAATGTGTCTAAACGGGATATTTGCCTGCAGTTACTGCAGTTTGTGATTTCGGGGTACTGCAAGTGCATATACTTTTGTATAGAGATGTTTTGGATTTGGACAGGGCTAATGATGATCAAACACCAAGCTAATTTCGTTTTTTCCTTTATTGATATGTGTATAATTATATGTATATATATATATACACAATTATATACACATAATTGGAATAAGTGGCTAATGTTTTTTTTTGACTGGCTGCAACCACAAACCAGAATTTGAAGCCCGGTAAGTCACAAAAACCTCAATCAACTCAAATCGATGTCGCAAAACGCACCCTAGAATTCACATTGAACCCATGCAGAAAATCCCCTGAATAGGTGATTTTCCAGCAGGAAAATCATCCTCCAGTGACTCCAGTGGTTTTCCCGTCCGCCCTTGCACGCCTTGGGTTCGCAGATGCCGTTGTCGCCCTCCTCAGTCGCGAATGCTGAGAGGATGGAGAAATTCTCCAGGAGCCCATGGGCGGTCAAAATTGTGGTACAACTGGTAAGACAAAGAAATGGATTGTCAATATACTATGAACCAACACGGGGCCTTGATATTTTGAATTGTGGCCCATCTGTATGTACCAAAATTCGGCATTCAACGATTGAGATAATGAGGATGCAACCATCAAGAATGGCCAAGTACTGTAACCGAGAATCATGGGGTTCAGCCCAGCATTGGCATGGATGGTAGTTTGAACGTATTTTCAGAGACCAGAGATGTTCAGGACGGCGGCTAGCCACCTACAATTAGCTTGTTGATGGTTAGTATCTTCAATGTTGCTGGATCATATCCCCATATATATCCATATATGCAATATAATCCACTTACATTTCTTTATATATATATATCCAAATATATATATATATATATATCCAAATATATATATATATATTATAATAATATTGCTCACTTACATGTTTTTATCATAGCTATCTTTTTATTTGGTGGGTTGGTTCTGTTCTTGTGGCGATCCAGGAGTTATTCAGCTCCTAAGCTGACTGGAGGGCAGCTGAGGGAAGCCAGGTGCCAACTTCGGCTTCCCAGTTTTAATCACTCAAAATTGATCAGAACATGACATTGATGACACCTTTGAAACCGTGATTAATGATATGTTTGATAATAATATCATTATCATTTATTATCCTGATCACTATGTTTAGACAGCAAATTATGGATATAAACACCATGGGGATATAACCAATATCACTGGTGGTTTCGTTCGCCATTTCGTTCGGGAGATTTCTGCAATGCTTGGAAGCTCCAAGCCATTTCGACGCCGTTGCTATATAAATTTGCCCATTTTATAGGGCTTTATAGGGATTAATTATAGGAATTTCATAGGGAGAGTAATGATTTTAATGAGAATGTTCGTGAACAAATAAACCCTCTGGTAACCTCACAGCCATGGACAAAAACCTTGTACCACCAGTACCGATCATTTGTGTTAGTTGAATCAGCATGTTTTAATTCATGTTTGTTGACTAAATCACAATGTTTCACTGCGTTTCTTGGTGGGTCCTTTTTTGGTCCCCATTTTTCATGCGTAGCCAGCTCCATCAGATCAGATGTCGATCCTCTGTTGGAATCACCATTTTGTTTTTTTTGGGTTTCTGATAAAAGCGTACCCGCTAGTTGGATTGGATGGCTTAAAACTTCATTTTCCAACTTCAAAAAGCAATTTTGGGATATTTTGGGTATATGCATTTTTTTCAGACATGCCCAAATGTCATATCAAGTTGGTTAGTTATCTCCCATTACACCCCATTATATCCTCATCATATCCCATTATATCCCATTTAATATGTTATTAACTATACCACCCAACAAATATCCCAAATATACAGTATCCCAATAGATCACCAGTACTGATAGCTGGTTGATCCACCATAGTGGGTTAGTTATTACCATTATACCGCGTCTACCCATAAAATCCCCATGAGTTTCTCCAGTCCAATCTTATCCAATGATTCCACCATTCTTAAGTTGCTAAGTTACTTTTAAACACCTATTTTCCTTCTCTGGTGGAATATATCGAAAAGTCGAAAAATACTTTTTTTAATGATGAACACCAAAAAGATCTTTAGTGAATATATATATATATGTATACAGACATATACACACATACACATTCTTTCATATTAATATTATGAATATATATATATATATTAGTGAAGTCACCATGAATCACCGGCCGCTAATTTTGCTTTCCAAAGCCCAGGTGGGACTCCAGGCATCACATCTTGTTTGCAAAGGAGGGGGACCTACCAGTTTCCGTGGCCAGGGGATGTCTGGGGAAAGAAACAGTTAACAATTAATGGTGATTAATAGTGATTAATGGTGATTTATATGTGATTTATATGTGATTAATGGTGATTAATGGTGATTAATGGTGATTAATGGTGATTAATGGTGATTAGTGGTAATGTGGCTCAAACAATGCCATAAACTTTATAAACCACAGTTTTGATTGTTAAATCCAACCAATTATGGTGATTTTGGGGATGGTTTATGATTGTTTCAACCACATTAGTGATTTTAAGGGGATGGTTTATGGTTTATGTTTGGCTTTACAAAGAATAACAATGGATACAGTGGTTAATTGGTTCATAATGGTTCTATTGTTTCACTATGCTGTGGGGGTTTGCTTGTAATGGTTAAATTACTTTACTTCGTGTGATCCCCACCATGACATTTATACATTTTCTTACTGGCAAATCTTCTGGCATTCTATCTGACATATCTTCTGACATTCTATTTGGCATTCTATCTGGCATATCTTCTGGCATATGATCTGGCATATCTTCTGGCATATCTTCTGGCATTCTATCTGGCAAATCTTCTGGCATTCTATCTGGCATATCTTCTGGCACTCTATCTGACATATCTTCTGGCATTCAATCTGGCATTCTATCTGGCATATCTTCTGGCATATATTCTGACATATCTTCTGGCATTCTATCTGACATATCTTCTGGCATATATTCTGACATATCTTCTGGCATATCTTCTGGCATATCTTCTGGCATATCTTCTGACATATCTTTCTGGCATATCTTCTGGCATATTTTCTGGCATTCTATCTGGCAAATCTTCTGGCATTCTATCTGGCATTCTATCTGGCATATCTTCTGGCATATTATCTGGCATTCTATCTGGCATATCTTCTGGCATATATTCTGACATATCTTCTGGCATTCTATCTGGCATTCTATTTGGCATTCTATCTGGCATATCTTCTGGCATATCTTCTGACATTCTTTCTGACATTCTTTCTAACTTTCTTCTGCACATTCTTTGTCCCATATCTTCCTACATGAGGTCCGGCAGGGAACACTTGGCGTGGATACTCGCGGTTGAGGTCCGGCAGGGAACACTGGGCGTGGCTGGTCGTGGTTGAGGTCCGGCAGGGAACACTGGGCGTGGCTGGTCGTGGTTGAGGTCCGGCAGGGAACACTGGTCGTGGATGGTCGTGGTTGAGGTCCGGCAGCGAACACTGTGGATCGCGGGTCGCAGTTGGACGAGGACGACGAGGACGACGAGGACGGACGACAAGGAGGACGAGGAGGAGGCAGGAGGCAGGACGAGGCAGGAGGCGGCAGGAGGAGGAGGCAACTGACATAAAATCTAACAACCCTCACCTGGCAGGTGGGGAATAACTTTGAATACACATCGGTGTCACCAGTGGCTAGCTGGAAAATATTGGGAAATTGCATTAAAAATGGAGGTTCATACCTAGGAAAATCCTTTTCCAGCAAACCACGATTGATGACACCGGAGGGTGTACATATATATATATATATAATATCTATGTATATATATATGTACATATCGCAATACCAAAACATGACATGCATGAGCATGTATGGGCTTGATGCGTCAAGAGATGAGCTCAATCCCAAGATAATCGGTAAAAACAACGTTTCTCCAGGCCTGGAAAACACACCGAGCCCGTATAATATAATATAATATGATATAATATAATATAATATAAATTATATATATATATATCGTACATGCAAGTATGAAACAGGTATTCAAATTAAAATATGTGTATGTATACATGCGAAATACCAAATAGATCACGACAAATGCGTTATCTTTTGCATGCACATGGATTTAGATTATGTTTTGCGTAAAAACATGTGTTCTCCAAACATCTCCAAACTCCAACGATCATGTTCCGCAGGACTCTTGCTTTGGAATGTCCCGCAACTCTACATCGTCGTGCCGATTCATGCATGGTAAACACTTGCCATTTGACAAGATCTTGTGGGAGTACAAAAAGTGTAGCAGAAACTGGCGGTTTTGCCAATCAATCACCATTAATCACCATTAATCATTAATCACATATAAATTACCATTAATCAACATTAATCCATTTGTCATCATTTGTCTAATCACTTCTGGAGGATTTTTCGGGGTGGCTCGACCACCGGGGTCACCGGGCACTCGACACACTGGAGGACAATCATTACTTCCAAGCGAATCTGAGAGAATACTTCGAAAGGCCAAGGTATTTGGCAGTCTGACGGCCGAGACCGCTGAGGCGTTGCATCGATCAGTGGCTGATTTCTACCATCGTTTTAAGCGCAATGCTCAGGAAAAATGTTTGTGAAGTGGGTTCAATGTTGAGATTCCCAAAAAATATCCATGTATTTCCGGGATACAGATGCATGGGAGCTTCTAAATTCAGTTGCAGACCTGAATTCTCATGCCAGTGTGCCTTTGCTATTTAGCTTGGACGGAGTATTTTGAAACTTGCGGAATGTCCAAAACAACGGAACCTACTGTACCATCTATGAAGGTTTGGTTCAAAATGGTTCAAGTCATTAAAATGGTTTATCATGACCGTCCCTATGAAAATAAGTATCAACTGAGGTATCCGGTTCTTTGAGACAAACCATGGCAAACCTATCTACCTATACCAAGACAGGTTTCCAACTCGTGTGTTTGCTTCTGTGGCAGCACCATGTCGGTCTCATGGCAGCTTCCAAAGGAAGTCTGCTGCGTTTTTTTGTCCTGATTCGGTCCTCCGAAATTTCGTCCAATGTCTTTTATACTGAAATTAATGTTGTAAACCCAATCATAATCCTGCCAGTTGGGAATGATTTTTGCATATGTTTACCAACAATTTCTGCTAAGTTTGGATGGCTAACTGTTGGGTGTACCATATTATATGGGTTTTCCTGTGTGAACATTTGATTTCACATCTTTGCAAAAAATCCACCTGGCTTGGCGTTTTAGATTCAATGTATTCCAAGGGATGGCCCGGTCATAACAAGTAGAGGGCCAAGTTTTGGAGGGGAGTAAATAGATGGATGTCTTTCTCTATGTGTGTGTATACTGAAAAATGACCCGAAAAATATGTATGTACTACTCGTTAATGTACATGTCTGCAGGCGAACGAAAGTATAGACGTGCGATTGTCAGCATCTACGCATGTGCGTGTATAAAGTATATGTGTATTCGTATGTATGATGTATATGAATATATAATATGTATATATTGTATGTATATTACTTACATCCAAGAGCTTCTACATACCCGTAACTATATAGTTCTCTGCCGCTCCTGTACATATTTATGCTGAAAAACGGAGCATGAGGGTGTTGCGTTCTGACCGCAAGGGAAGAATTCTGAGCCGTGGAGAAAATGGTGAAAAGTAAACAACCGACTTTTTGGGACCAGGTCCCTTTCTTACAGGCAAAAAGAACATATGTGGCGAAACCGTGTTGTCATAATAAGGGGGAACCAGCCCGAAACAGTCTTGTCAAGTCTTGTCTTAGCCTGGTGCCATTTAGTGCATTTCAGCCAGATCACAACATGTTTCCATATGTTTCCTTTATTCTTTGAAGAGACAAGGAAAACTTTGGAGGGCAGATCAGCGGCCAGTTTCACTTCAGATTTTCCCGAGGCATCTAGGCATCGGGATCTGTGTCAAGGCTTTGCTGACATCGGTTGCGTTTGATCATAGTGAGCATTGATCATAGTGAGTATACATACATACATATTATATTTATATATATATATACATATGTACATGGGTATGGCTCAAATAATCAACAACCCATGTATTTGGGAGGGTTGTATAGAAAAAATATAACTTCAGAAAAGGTTTCCTGCTTGACTCTCCGCTTTGTATTAGTTGTGGACACGCGACGCCTTTTCATCCATCAAAAGGATTCAAAAGGGCCATGGGTGAAGGCACGCCTCCTGTGCTCTGATTTGAACCGTGAAGGTTAATACAGATCACAGCTCCAACTGTTGATATTATTTGATGCTATCTGTACAATCAACCTCGAGCACTCGATCACTGGATCACAATGAATTGCAGTAAAGACATGAAGAATTTGCATTGTTGCGGTATGATCAGGTGCAATGAATTACTGAAGACGTTGTTCTTTCAGTAGTTCGCAGTACCTTCTATAGACTTATTCACCCTTTGATTGTGAATGTACTTGCATGAGTCCATTGTTATTTCAATTTTTGTGGGTCTTTGATTGTTGTGGGGATGATTTATACCTCCTGTTTTGGCAAACATGTGGAAAGTGTATTGGCTTGGGTTTCCGGCAGAAGTATGTGTGCTCTCATCAACTCATTGTTTGGTGCTTCTGCATATTGGCATAACCTTGTCGTGTTGTTCATCAGGTATGACACAATGTCATCATGATGTCCAGCATGTACGGACTGCAGATAATATCAGATATATAATTAGGCTGCAATTCATGATTTTCATAGATATTTTCATAGATTTTCGGACAGCTTGTTGTGTTCAAATCTATCAATGTTACCATTGTCATTCATTATTTTTGGGGGTTGTGAACTCAGACGACCAGCGCTCCGGGGTCCGAACTTTTGGCTCCAGAGCTCCAGGCGGGTTTTGGTGTAGCGAATCCTGGTCACCAGATTTTGAGGCAGTGAGAGGACTACTCCGGTGACACAAAGTTGGTGAAAAACATGTTTTAACAACTTTAAACCCAAATGGAAAAGTTTTGGTGGCATGGTGATTTTATATGATTTTATCGGGTCTATGTATCATATATAGATTCATTAATATAGCAGTTGATCGTTGTGAGTACTGAGCGGCTTTGGAGCAGTTGGCAGCCTGTGCGAATCTTGTTCTCCTTCCTTTACATCCATGTGGCATGGTTTGTATAGTTGCAGGTTGGCAATTTTTCTGGGAAAATTTGTCCAAGAAAGAGGCCCCAGGAGTATTTTATAAGTTTCTCCAGAACCGGGGGATATCCCAAAGCAAGTTGTTCATCATCATATTCCCCCATGAAAATGGTCAAACACATGCAGGGTCTTCTCCTTTTTCAGACGGACCCATTTACGGATGAACCTGTGCCGGTTGATTCAGAAAAATCCACTCTGGGGTTCAAGCGCGTTGGAAGTGTAAATCGCCACTATCACAAGGAACTACTGGGGTCCTTACAGCATTATATAAAATCATCTTAGATCTATAGAATGAAGATCTGGATCTGATGATCATCGTTCCGTTTGTCATAAGACCATGAGTTAGTATTGAAACCGAAAAGGTGACGACTGGGGGAACTCCCCGGATCCACATTGGCTCGCGTCCGACTCGTGATCTTGGTTGCGACGTCAAGTACGGCTCCGACCGTCCATCCTCTCCCCAATGAAACAACGAAAACCGATTTAATTGATTTGCCATTTTATTTCCTACAAACTCTCTTTGGATCCATTATTTGATGTCCCCCATCAGTAGCAGACACCCCACTTATAAACCCGACTTAGCCATTTGGTTCATTTAGGGATCTCACCTTCAAGGGAAGATTTGAGAAGTGGACTGCAATACGGTATGATCACGCTGCCACTAGCAGGTTTCAAAGCGGGAATAAGAATCCAAGATAATCAAGTCAAAAAGCTGCTGGGTTTCATTTTCGGAAACAACTCCAGCTGCCACGACAGATTACAAACCGGTGATTCCCAGAAACTGATTAAAGAGGATTAAAGATCCTCGTCACCATCAGGCTATGCCGTTTGTGATGCCAAGTGGCGCGGCATACCTGGCTGCCTGGGTAAACCAGCTGGTGACTTGTAGGTTGATAGGCAAAGAAATCAGGTGATCAGCCAACAAATAGCAGCATTTATCATATTTAACCATCAAAGCCGGGATACTGATAGATGGAAGGTGACATTTTCTTCACATTGATTCCCCCTTTTGGCTATGCTATGCTTGTAGTATCCTGTGGTTGTGGTATCCAAAAATGTTTGTGAGCTTGACCTGGGCCAACGCGTTCTGAGATTGGGCTGGGTTTTACACACGTTGATGGCAATGTCTTATATATATATATACAATTATATACAATGTGATATACGCATATATTATAATATATTATATTATATAAATAATTTAATGCGTATACCGTAGATATATATTACAAATCGTATTATATCAATCTATACACATATAAAAGCGAAGATAAACATGTCAATGGCAATGCATTCTATCGTTTTTTCTCCCTGTTTTTGTGGGGTTTCCCCTTGCAGATTGACAGCGGATCAGAAACGTGGGAGCCGATCCATTGGTTCACCCCACAACCGAATGCTTTCGATCAATCAAATTAAATCAACATGCGTCACCAAAAAAACACAACAAATGTTTTTGTTTTTGTAATCTGTGAGTGAATGGGAGTTTGAGTTTGATCGATACCACCCAATCGGATCCATCTCAAGACGATCCAATAACGGCAGCGCCCATTGGAACGTCTGAATCTGCTGAGATATCCTGTTAGAATTATATACATAATGTGTATCATTTTATATCTCTTTGCTTGTCACAAAGCCTGTGCAGGTTGATTTACAATTTCTTAAGATTCCCTTGGCTCACACTCCGAAGATGTTGCAAAACTGTATGTTTTGGTTGTGGTGGCTTCTTGCAGAAAACCAGCAATTGCAAGACATGGGTTTAATCCTCGTTATTCAAGTGGATTTTTCAATACCCTTGACCACTCCCTGTTTGATCCCACTCCAGACTTCTGGCTCATGTATTTTGAAATACTTGAAGTATGCCTTCGCATGATCGTCCCATGTTTGGCGGAGTTACTTTACCCAAAACTTGTGGGGAGCTCCCCCCCAAAAAAACATGTGGCCGCCCGGTCAGTGGTAAAAATATCGTGCTCAGGTGGCCGGGCATGTCCTTAAGGCCATTCTAGGCCAGGGTCGGCCAGTGACTGAAAGCGGGAGGGAAGAAATACAGCAAATCATTTGGAAATATCCCCAAGTCATCACCATTTTTTTGGCGGGATTTCAACCATCCCCAAACGGGAGTTGTTTATGGCAGCCAGGGTTTCCCACATCATACAATTATTGATTATAGGCCATTGCTTCAGTGGGAAAGGCTATTCTGGAATGAAATGGTGGCACCGTGATTGTCTCTGCTTGATACATGTCATGACCTGCAGATCTCATTAGTAGAAACGGGAACTCAATCTGTTCTCCCTACATAATAGAAACATTTGTTTTTCCTTGGGATGATCGATCCAAAAGCTTCCACAAGAGATGGAAAGTTTCAAGTCTTCAAGTTGGGGCCTGGGTTTTAGTTTCAGAAACAAAGGTAAATGCATCCAGCTCCCACAACATCCCACAACACACAGATCACCACATTTTTCCCCACCTGCCAGGTGATCTCTAGATTTTTATCAGAGTTACTTCCTCCGCCTCCTCATCCTTCCTTCTGTACGTCCGTCCGTCCGAACCTCAACTGCGAGTACCAGATCTCAGTGGGCACAGCTGGAGCTCAACCGTGAGCTCCAGATCTCAGTGGGCACCGCCAGACCTTAACCGCGAGCTCCAGATCTCAGTGGGCGCTGCCGGATCTCAACCGCGAGCGCCGGATCTCAGTGGGCACTGCCGTACCTCAACCACGATCTCAGTGGACATTGTCGGACCTCAACCACGAGCCCCAGATCTCAGTGGGCATTGGATGTGGCGCTCGCGTTGTTGAGGTCCGGCAGCGCCCATGTCAGAATAGGCGCCAACTGAATGCCAGAATAGAACGTCTGATAGGATGCCAGAATTGATGCCAGAAAGAATGCTGCAGCATAGATAGAATGCCAGATAGTATGCCAGAGAAAATGTCAGAATAGATGCCAGATCGGATGTCAGAATAGATGCGCGATAGAATGCCAGAATAGAATGTCAGACTGGAATGTCAGATAGAATGCTGCCATAACAGAATGTCAGAAGATATATGAGCTACAGCTAAATTTACCGTAATGGAAAGTAGTATTCGAGGCATCTCTATTGCTGGGAAATTGAGCTGGGGCACAGAACACAATAATACACTCTTCAAAAAACAATAACATTTGCTTATATGTTTGATCTTGGTCATCAGTCATCCTTTGTCTTACGGTGCAGGTTATTCGATGCCTTTATGTGGGCGTTAATAGCATTCACCATCTGTTTGAGAGATAGGCAATTGGCAAAATCCTGTTTTGAACAGGTGGTACAACCTGGTGATGTGCATTGCTGTGTGGTGATGGTCTGTTTATGCTGCTGTTTGCGCTGCATGCTGACTTAATTTCAAGCACTGTACGGCCACATATCAGTCTTTTGCCTCAACTTTTGCTAGTGACAACGCGCCATGCTGGAGAAAGGAAAGAACAAGGTCTTGCCTTGCGGCAGGAACAGTGTGGGTGCTCTAGATTCCGGTCTTTCCCCTATTCCTTTTGGAGTTTGTGCTTTTCGTTTTCCGCGGCAGCCTCAAGCTTTGTTCAAGACAGCATTAAGACTTGTCAAAAGAAGGGTTGGTTTCCCAGAATCATTGTTTTGCAGATTTTTTTGATCCAACCAGGTGTCCCAAACGATAACCCGAACGATAACGAAACGATAACCAAAAATCGCATAATCCCGTGCTGGATTTGGATGATTTGGGTGCGAAGCGACAAAAACGATGAGTGCCTCGAGGCACCAAGAGTATTTAGAATGCGAGCCTCCCAAGCTGGGCATCTGATTCCCAAAGCTGCATCCATTGGCTCCGCCAAAGTGTTCCTGGAAAGATTGGCCAATGATGCGTGTCGACATTACCAAGCATTTTGGAATGTTCTTGGGATACCATCGGTGGTTTTTAGCCGAGCTTGAATGCAACTCGGGAATGTGTGCCCCAATCCCATTTACCCCAGTGCTTTGCTGGGCAGGCAGTTGTAACTTCATTACACAGTGTGCCGCCGGTGGGATGTTGCGATGGGGGGCGTGCCGAAACACTTGGTGTCAACATTGGTTTCATAACCGCCATCTCTGATCAATATTCATTATCATAATCTATTTGTTGAAGGTAAATTGTGAGTATATCAGATATGGGCCTGATATGGGCATGGGTTATATATATATATTTATATTTACATATATGTTTATATTTATATTTATTTGGATATTTTTTTGGCCTCTGTGCAGAGTCATGCAGTTTCCTCTGGTTAACTGCTTGAATCACTTCAGATTGCGGCACATAACCCTTCATTGTTCTAGTTTCTACCTGCGGCCGACAATGGAAAGACACAGGTTCAACCCTGATTGCAAATCTATTGTTCAGATTTTGAGATTTCTGAGACGATTGCCCCTTCGCGCCAAGTTTATGGCTCGTGGTGTAGACTAACAGCTGAAGACAACTGGCTGCAACACACAGCAATGAAGGGCAGACTCGCAAGAGCAGTTTTGCTTGCCTTTCTACTGACGGTCACCATGGCTTCTGAAACTTGCCGAAAAAAATTGAGCGTGGTATGGGAATCCTGCGCAAACAACCTCTAGAACCAATCTGCCAGAGGGTTTCAAAACTGTTTGCTTTCTGGCCCATTGCGCCCAGGATGACGACAGCCTTTGCTTGTTGGGCGGTATCCCCAGATCCTTGCGGAAAAACTTAACGACTGCAAATGGCGCCTCGGCAGCAGATTCCTCAATGAGGACCGGCGAAGTACAAATCCCACAAGTGGGTCAAGGAGTTGCTGTAGGAAACCATTGTCTTTGAATATTATAAGTGCAGACTTTCCACTTTCCAATGAGTAAAACCAACAGTTTCATCGTAGGGATTTGACATGATGTGACCACTTTTGGGCAAATCACCCGGGCAAAGGGGAATATCTCTACTAGACATGACCACGGTGAGCCAATATGCCACCCCCACTCTTCCCAGCTGCCCACGGGCTTGCTAAATCCCATGACCAACAAACCTGGGGTTTCCTTGAGTTTTCACCAGTGGTGATGTGAAATGATATGAACAATCACCCTTGCTGATTGGTTCGAAAGTTGTCCACCCGGTATTCTGGTATTATGGCAGTACCTTCTTTATATTCGTAATATATATATGTATATATATATATATATGCTCCAGGTCCTGCCACCCCTCCCCCCCCTCCTCTGTGGTAATAGCTGTGGTGGTGGGGGGTGGTAGATGTAAATTGGTAGTCAACAGATATTAGGTGTATAGCCGAAGGAAGTTTAGAAGTCAAACTTCCGACAATATGGACAGATGAAAAGCAGAGATGGGAAGAGTCAGTGAAGAGGAGAGAAGTAGAAAGAAGATCAAAAAAGAGAAAGTCTCAGTCTCAGAAGAAAGAAGATCCAGGTGCGCGAAAAGGTAGGAAAGTCGCGAAACATTGTGTTTTTCGAATGATTTGTGGCTCCGGAGGGTTGAAAAGTAGGCTCGCTAGAGCGGCGGGTGCGGAGCCCGGTGGGCAGATGAGAGATGAAAAATTGAACGCCGTTGTGGCGCGAAGCACATTTGTAAGTGAAAAAAATGCTAAAAACACCCCAGGTTCGGACCACTTTTGGACGTTGAGATGTCGAAAAAGTGCACGCCGTTGTGGTGCGAAGCACATTTCGAAGTCAAAAGTGTAGAAAAAACTGACGGGGTCAGAGCACTTTTGGAAGTTGAGATGCCGAAAAAGTGCAAGCCGTTGTGGCGCGAAGTCAAAAGTGTAAAAAAAACTGACGGGTTCAGAGCACTTTTGGAAGTTGATATGCCGAAAAAGTGCAAGCCGTTGTGGCGCGAAGCACATTTCGAAGTCAACATGTTAAAAACACCACATGTTCGGACCACTTTTGGAGGTTCAGATGTCGTTTCGCGTGGCAGGGGCAAGGGATTGTGCACCGTGTCAAAAGTGAACAAGACGTGAGGGTTTTGTAGCATTTCCAAAAACGATGGCAGGCTTGGGACATTTGAAGAGGATCTGCACATTTTCCGTGGCAGGCGCAGTACAAGAGGCATGTTCATCGGAGCTGTTAGGAGGTCCGGGCGCTGATTTCCTGAGAGGGGTTGCATGATCTTCAGGTTTGCTGAGGCGATTTTGCGTGACAGGTGCAGCACTTCGTATGACCTGGCCTCACTTTTTCATGGCAGGCGCAATACTTTAGACAGGTGAAGTTGAAAAATCGCAAGATGCATTGGTACGAGGCTGTCAGCTCTTCAACTTTCCATTTTTGAAGGAAGTCTCGCAGAATTGCTTCGTTTTTGATGTCGTCAACTTGGAAAAATGAGGAGGTCTCGCAGAATTGTTTCGTTTTTGATGTTGTCAAGTTCAAAAAGTCTCGCAGAAGTGCTGCGTTTTGAAGCTTACAGTTAGAGAGACAGACAGACAGGCAGACACACAGATAGATAGATAGATAGATAGATTTGATTAGATTTGATTTGATTTGATAGATAGACAGATAGATAGTTAGATAGATAGATTAGATAGGTTAGGTTAGGTTAGATTAGATTAGATAGATAGATACACAGATAGATAGTTAGATAGATAGATAGATAGCTAGAGAGATGGAGAGATAGACAGACAGACAGACAGACAGACAGACAGACAGACAGACAGACAGACAGACAGACAGACAGATAGATAGATAGACAGACAGACAGACAGATAGATAGATAGATACATAGATAGATAGATAGATAGATAGATAAATTAGATTAGATTAGATTAGGTTGGGTTAGATTAGATTAGATTAGGTTAGATTAGATTAGATTAGATAGATAGATAAGAAAGATAGATAGATAAGAAAAATAGATAGATAAGAAAGTAAGTAAGAAAGAAAGACATAAAAAAAAGAAAGAAAAGAAAAAAAGAAAGAAAGATAGATTGATAGAATGAATAGATAGGTAGAATAAATGAATAGATAGATAGATAGATAGACAGATAGATAGATAGATAGATAGATAGATGGATAGGATAGGATAGGATACGATAGGATACCTGTGTCTCATGACTCATGATGTCATCTAGATCCGTTTCCTGCACCAACTGAGTGACAGTATAGCCACAGTGACCGCATAGCCACAGAGAATGAATTAAGAGGAAGGATTTGACATATAAGGGAATCCCAACCGAAAGCATTGAACCTGCACGATGCAAGAAGCATGGGTGTTCCAAATGGCCAGCTGCAGTTTTGTCGGGCATTTGGTATCGGGCCTTCCTTCATGCTTTTTCGTGTTTGTCTTTTCTGACGGCACAAAAAGCGTATTCCGGTCGGCGGAACTGACGTCTTTCGTGTTTGTCTTTTCTGACGGCACGATGGCACAGCAACATCTGTTGTTCTGTGCACGTGGTCGTGTCTGTCTTTTCTGACTTTTCTGACGGCACAATGTCGCAGTCTAGCAAAGCAACATGTCGTATCTATCTTTTCTGACGGTACGACCGCCCAAGACTTTTGGCCATTGTTCCTAAGCCGAAGGCCCCCCTAAAAGATATACACCTACCAGCCTTGCAACGACAAGTAGTAGCCCTACCACAGTCAGAGCCTTGTGAAGAAGACCATGTGAAGAAGAGACGTGGAAACAGTACCGGGCCGAAGGCCTTCCTTAAAGACATGCAACTACCACCCTTGCAAAGACAAAAAGGTACTAGCCCCATCACATGTACAGCCTTCAGGAGAAGATGAAGTGAAGAAGAGAAGTGTACTAGGCCAAAGGCCCCCCTAAAAGAAATAAACTTACCACCCTTGCAACGACAGATAGGTACTAGCCCTACCACATTCAGAGCCTTGTGAAAAAGACTGTGTGAAGAAGAGACGTGGAAACGGTACCGGGCCGAAGGCCTTCCTTAAAGACACGCGCCTCCCTTGCAATGAGAAATAGGTACAAGTCCTATCACATGTACAGCCTTCAGAAGAAGATGAAGTGAAGAAGAGAAGTGTACTAGGCCAAATGCCCCCCTAAAAGACATAAACCTACCACCCTTGCAACGACAGATAGGTACTAGCCCTACCACATTCAGAGCCTTCAGAAATTTCACAATGAGGAGTGAAAAGAGGAAGGCAAGGTGAAGTAGACACGTTACTAGGCCGAAGGTTCTTCTAAAAGACGTGCGCCTGCCACCCTTGCGACGAGAAATAGATACAAGCGCTACCATGTGCCTCCAGATAAATATCTTGATAAGAAAACCATTGGATAGAGTGCTAGGCCGAAGGCCTTCCTAACAGACATAAACTTACCATCATGGCAACGACAGATAGATACGAGCCATACCACATTCAGACCCTCCAGAACAGAACAATGAGCAGAAGAGAGGGCGAAGGCCTGCCTAAACACATCAGCTTGCCACCCGCGCAACAACAAATAGATACTAGCCCTGCCATCTGCAAGCTCTGAGGCACATGCCAAGAAACGGACAGAAGTGCAGGGGTAATCTAGATAAATTGACATACAGTCAGTGAGTCAGTGAGTTAGTAAGTAACAAAACTAGTTTTATAGCTAGGGAGTTTTTTTGATAGAGAGATAGATGGGTTGATAGGAAGATAGGTACATAAGCAGAAATATACATAGATGTGCGGCCACGCTACATGTGTATGTAAGTGTATGTGTTTAATATATTGTCGACATATACATTTATATTATTAAATTCATACATATATCTATATTGCATTTATCTATTTATGTCGCCAAGTGTGCTCTTTCATGCCACAATGATCCAACCCTTCCACCCTCAACCAAGTATATAAAAGGAAGGGGAGAAGAAGAGTACATGACATACGGTGAACTTGAAGCACTAGTAAGAGGCAAGCCTTCCAAATTGAGACTGGGAAGCGTCTTCTCATTCGAAAAGCAAAGCCCCACCACCTTCATCCCAGGAGGAAATGACGAGAAATGGGAAGTGTACTAGGCCGAAGGCCCCCCTAAAAGATATACACCTACCAGCCTTGCAACGACAAGTAGTAGCCCTACCACAGTCAGAGCCTTGTGAAGAAGACCATGTGAAGAAGAGACGTGGAAACAGTACCGGGCCGAAGGCCTTCCTTAAAGACATGCAACTACCACCCTTGCAAAGACAAAAAGGTACTAGCCCCATCACATGTACAGCCTTCAGAAGAAGATGAAGTGAAGAAGAGAAGTGTACTAGGCCAAAGGCCCCCCTAAAAGACATAAACTTGCCACCCTTGCAACGACAGATAGGTACTAGCCCTACCACATTCAGAGCCTTCAGAAAAACAACAATGAGGAGTGGAAAGAAGAAGACAAGGTGAAGAAGAGCAGTGGACACGTTACTAGGCCGAAGGCATTCCTCAAAAACATAAACCTACCACCCTTGCAAAGGCAGATAGTTAGTAGTTCTGCCGCATTCAGGGTCTTCTGAAGAAGAAAATGCGAAGAAGAAAAGTGGAGAAGGTTCTTCTTAAAGACGTGCGCCTACCACCCTTGCAACGAGAAATAGATACTAGCGCTACCCTATGCCTTCAGAAAAATATATTGATAAGAAGACAAGTGGATAGAGTGCTAGGCCGAAGGCCTTCCTAACAGACATAAACTTACCATCATTGCAACGACAGGTAGATACGAGCCATACCACATTCAGACCCTCCAGAACAGAACAATGAGCAGAAGAAAGGCCGATTTCTCTCACGGCGTGCAGGTGCCTGGGCTAGTGTCTTTTTGCTGTTGTAAGGGTGGCAGATTTACGTTTTTAGAGAGTGCCTTCATCTTTCTGCCTAGGGCAGTCACTTTTCTTTACCCATATGCAGTGCCGGTACTATAAGCAATTATCTCTTCATAATGTTTGTGCCTAGGCCCCATTCGTTGTTCTAAGGGTGCTTTTGTTACGTCTTTGTAGTGCACTTTGCATTTTCTTCTCACTCCATTTCCCTAATCTTCCCATGCTAGGATGCATTTGTCGTTGCATCCGATTTCTCGTTTGTCTATTTATCTAGATTACCCCTGCAGTGGGGGTATTGGACCTATCCTACAACCTTAGCAACAACAATTTTGATAATAGAATAGAAGTAGATAGGTAGATAGATAGATAGATAGATAGGGAGATAGATAGATAGATAGACAGATAGATAGAGAGATAGAGAGATAGAAAATAGAGAGAGAGATAGATAGATAGATAGATAGATAGAAAGAGAGATAGAGAGATAGAGAGATAGAGAGAGAGAGATAGAGAGATAGAGAGATAGAGAGAGAGATAGATAGATAGATAGATAGATAGATTAGATAGGTTAGATTAGATTTGATTGGGTTAGATTAGATTAGATAGATAGACAGATAGATAGTGAGATAGATTAGATTAGATTAGATTAGATAGATAGATAGATAAATAGATAGATCGATAGATAGATAGATAGAGAGATAGGTAGATAGATAGAAAGAAAGAAAGAAAGATAGATAGATACATAGATAGATACATAGATAGATAGATAGATAGGTAGATAGATAGATGGATAGATGGATCGATGGATAGATAGATAGATAGATGGATAGCTGGATAGATGGATAGATGGATAGATAGGTCGATAGATCGATAGATCGATAGATCGATAGTTAGATCGATCGATAGATAGGTAGATAGATTAGATAGGTTAGATTAGATTTGATTAGGTTAGATTAGATTGGACAGATAGACAGATAGAAAGTGAGATAGATAGATTAGATAGGTTAGATTAGATTTGATTAGGTTAGATTAGATTAGATAGACAGATAGAAAGTGAGAAAGATAGATTAAATAGATTAGATAGATAGATAGATAGATAGATAGCTAGCTAGATAGATAGATAGATAGGTAGGTAGGTAGGTAGGTAGATTAGATAGATAGATAGATAGATAGATAGATAGATAGATTAGATAGATTGATAGATAGATAAGTTAGATAGATTAGATAGATTAGATAGATAGATAGATAGATAGATCGATAGATCGATAGTTAGATCGATAGATAGATCGATAGATAGATCGATAGAACGAACGATAGATCGATAGATCGATAGATAGATTAGATAGGTTAGGTTAGATTTGATTAGAATTGATTAGATTTGATTAGAATAGATTTGCTTAGATTTGCTTAGATTTGATTAGATTTGATTAGGTTAGATGAGATTCACGGACAGATAGATAGTTAGAGAGATAGATAAGATAGGTTAGATTAGAGATAGTTAGAGAGATAGATAAGATAGGTTAGATTAGATTTGATTAGGTTAGATTAGATAGATAGACAGGTAGATAGTTAGATAGATAAGATAGGTTAGATTAGATTAGATAAATAGACAGACAGATAGTGAGATAGATAGATAGATAGGTAGGTAGGTAGGTAGATAGATTAGATAGATAGATAGATAGATGGGTAGATAGATAGATAGATAGATAGATAGATAGATAGATAGATAGATGGATCGATAGATAGATCGATAGATCGATCGATAGATAGATCGATAGATCGATCGATAGATAGATAGATAGATTAGATTGATTAGATAGATAGATAGATAGATAGATTAGATAAATTAGATAAATTTGTTAGATTAGATAGATAGATAGATAGATGGATGGATGGATGGATGGATGGATAGATAGGCAGGTAGGTAGGTAGATAGATAGATAGGTAGATAGATAGAAAGATAGATAGCTTAGATAGATTAGATAGATAGATTAGAAAGATAGATTAGATAAATAGATTAGATAGATAGATAAGATAGATAGATAAGATAAGATAAGATAGGATAGGTAGATAGATAGGTAGATAGATAGATAGATCAATCGATCGATAAATAGATAGATAGATTAGATAGGTTAGATTAGTTTTGATTAGGTTAGATTAGGTTAGATAGATAGACGGATAGATAGTGAGATAGATTAGATAGATTAGGTAGATAGATAGATTAGATAGATAGATCGATAGATAGATAGATTGATTGATTGATAGCTAGGTAGAGAGATAGATAGATAGATAGATAGATAGATAGATAGATAGATAGATAGATTAGATAGATTAGATAGATTAGATAGATTAGATAGATTAGATAGATTAGATAGATTAGATAGATTAGATAGATTAGATAGATTAGATAGATTAGATAGGTTAGATTAGATTTGATTAGGTTAGACTAGATTAGATAGATAGACGGATAGATAGATTAGGTAGATAGATAGATAGATAGATAGATAGAAAGATAGATCGATAGATAGATAGATAAGATAAGATAGGTTAGATTTGATTAGATTTGATTAGATTAGATTTGATTTGATTAGATTAGATAGATAGACAGATACATAGTTAGATAGATAGATAGGTTAGATTAGATTTGATTAGGTTAGATTTGATAGATAGGCAGATAGATAGATAGATAGATAGATAGAGAGATAGATAGATAAGAAAGGTTAGATTAGAATTGATTAGGTTAGATTAGATTAGATAGATAGACAGATAGATAGTGAGATAGATAGATTAGATAGATAGATTAGGTAGATAGATAGATTAATAGATAGATAGATAGATAGAAAGATAGATCGATAGATAGATAGATAAGATAAGATAGGTTAGATTTGATTAGATTTGATTAGATTAGATTTGATTTGATTAGATTAGATAGATAGACAGATACATAGTTAGATAGATAGATAGGTTAGATTAGATTTGATTAGGTTAGATTTGATAGATAGGCAGATAGATAGATAGATAGATAGGTAGATAGATAGAGAGATAGATAGATAAGAAAGGTTAGATTAGAATTGATTAGGTTAGATTAGATTAGATAGATAGACAGATAGATAGTGAGATAGATAGATAGATAGATCGATAGGTAGATAGGTAGGTAGATAGGTAGGTAGATAGGTAGATAGGTAGATAGGTACATAGGTAGATAGGTAGATAGATAGATAGATAAGATAGATAGATGGATGGATGGATAGATAGATAGATAGATAGATAGATAGTTAGATAGCTAGATAGGTAGATAGATAGATAGATAGATGGGTGGATATGTAGATAGATAGATAGATAGATTAGATAGATAGGTAGGTAGAGAGATAGAGAGATAGAGAGATAGAGAGATGGAGAGATAGATAGATAGATAGGTAGATTGATAGATAGATAGATAGATTAGATAGGTTAGATTAGATTTGATTAGGTTAGACTAGATTAGATAGATAGACAGATAGATAGTGAGATAGATAGATTAGATAGATAGATTAGGTAGATAGATAGATTAATAGATAGATAGATCGATAGATAGATAGATAGATAGAAAGATAGATCGATAGATAGATAGATAAGATAAGATAGGTTAGATAGATAGATAGATAGATAGATTGATTGATTGATTGATAGCTAGGTAGAGAGATAGTAGATAGATAGATAGATAGATAGATACATACATAGATAGATAGATAGATAAATAGATAGATAAATAGATAGATAGATAGATAGGTAGATAGATAGATAGATCGATAGATAGATAGATAGATCGATAGATAGATACAGGTAGATAGGTACATACATTGGAAAGAGGTGATGGAGAGAATCCTTCAGCCCAAGCTGGGGCAGCCAAACCGTGCTCCCGTGCAACTAGCATAGATATATTATGGGAGGGATAGACAAGAGCATAGGTGGAGTATAGATAGAGTATATGCACCTTGCTCGTGTGACAGGATTGGCGTGGTGAATGTGTTTGCGTCAAAACAAGTTAGCGAAATGAAACAACTAGAATGTGCGGGTCTTTATGCTACGCGCACGCGCGGGAGTCAAATAGGTCCCAATCTTCCCCCAGCTGAAGCATGGATGAAGCAAATGTGAACCAAGAAGCGTAAGAGCAAGATCATTTTTTTCCTTCATGGTGGAACATGAAATTGTCACTGACTCAAAACTGTAGGAAGTGGTTGGATAATAATTGGATACGTATAGGGAAGACAATTCACCTGTGATGTGGGTTCCGATGCATAAGAAAACGGGAAGAAAAGAACGGTGACAGAGTGAAAGGGATGAACAAGAAATACAGGGATGAACGTAAGAGTGAAGTGAGTACATGCACGAAGGAGTTTCATAGGGAAGATGACTGTTTGATTTGTGGGTGTAAGGTGAGAAAATGCAAGAGGATAAGACATGTCAAGAGCAAGAACCATCTGTTGGGGTGGGTGGAGAAGGTCAGAGTGAGGGGGCTGGTCAGGTGAAAGGGCAATATAGAGCATATCCTTTACTAGTGTATGGGAAAATGTGTTTTTTTTGCACGGTTTTGTGCGCAACGTAGGTTTTTTTTTGCGAAAACCGCACCGCGCCACATAATACGAGTTTTTCCCTGCCACCCCCCCACCCACCCACCCAACCCATTAGGGGTGGAGAGACAGAGGACGGGGCCATATATATATATACATACAGTCATACATACATACATACATACATACATACACACGATATTAGCATTTTTTTTGAAATATGAAAAAGATGGGTTTCTCCTTTTCAGCCTAAACCACTTTTAGACTTGTATCATCGCTAGCCCCACTGCTTTTCATGGATTCCCTGTTGATGACCTGCCACATTGCCTCAGGTAACTCCTTGGCCGTGGGGCTCTGGGTTTGCCAATGGCCGGCAGCCTTTTTATTGTCCGCCATGTTGCATATTTTGATGGAGGAGCTGCTAGAAAACATGGAAACCATGTGGTTTTTGAGGTACCTCCTATGTATTCAGGGAGCATTCTTATCAATGAGATTCAATGATGGATAGTATTACCATTTTTTCCAAAAAATAAAGGTCGCCACATGTCGCCACATGATTGTTTTATAGTTTAGTTTTAGGGAATCATTTAGTATGTCCATTTGCATCCATTTGTTTGCTTTGCTTCGGCCAGAGCAATCCCAGTCGTTTGGTTGGAATTTAAATAGCACCGCGGTTTTCAGCTTCTCAAATAGACCGTTTGATTTGGGATTGCGAGGGTCTCGGGTATCGCAAAGACACTTCCATGCTGTCGGCTGGTGATTTTTGAGGCAAGACACTTCCAAACGCTCTGTGGATCCAGAAACAAATGCGCACCGTGCTTCGGGCAACCAATAAGTAATTTTGTGTTTTGCTGGTCGAACAGACCCTACGAATAGGCACATATTTTCATTTAAATTGAAACCTCAAAATCACATGGAACTCAAGCGGAGGTCGCGCGGGCTCCCAGCAGCAGAATGGTATCAGCCAAAACAACACAACTGATCAGAAAGTTTTGTGCCCAAGGGCTTCAGTACCAGTAGTACCGCACAAGGCGGTGGCGGAAGTTTCAGAGAAGGAAACCTATAGGAGAGCTTGGCTGTTGTGAATCAGGGATGGCAGAGCGAATCCACTGATGGACTGAAAGGTGGTTGGAGTTGTGTTTTATTGGAATGGTTACAATGGTTGCAGTGGTCACCTGGTTGGTCACCTCACCCACAACTGCTGGATGTAGTGTGGCGTAGTGCAGCTGTAGTTGTAGTTGTAGCGTAGTGGAGTTGTAGTCGTGCTGTAGTGTAATTAGAGCAGTGTAGTTGCAATTGCACTTGTGTCCGTGTAATAACTGTAATGTAGTGTGATGTAGGATAATGTAGATAGTGTAGTGAAGTGGAGTGTGATGTAGTGTGACGTAGCGTAGTTGTAGTTGTAGCTGGAGTGTGTAGGGTAGTGTAGTGTAGTCTAGTGTGATGTTGTGTGGTGTAGTGTAATGTAGTGTAATGTAGTGTAGTGTAGCGTTATGTAGTGTAGTTGCTGTTGTAGTTGAAGTTGCAGTTGGGGTTGTAGCTGTACCTGTCCTTGTAGTTAATGTAGTATAGTGTTGTGGAGTGAGTTGGAGTGGAATGGAGTGTAGTGGAGTGTAGTGTAGCGTAGTGTAATTAGTGTAGTGTAGTGTGGTGTAGCGTGGTGTAATGTAATTCGTGTAGTGTAGTGTAATGTAGTGTGGTTGTAGTTGCAGTTGCAGTTGTAGTCGTAGTTGTAGTTGTAGTTAGCGTAGTGAAGCGTAGTGTAGTGCAGCGTAGTGTCTCTGTAGCGTTACTGTAGTGTGTTACTGTAGTGTATAATGTAGTGGAGGGTAATGTATTGTAGTTGTAGTTGTAGTTGTAGCGTAGGGCAGTGTAATCGAATGTAGCCTAGTGTAGTGTAGTCAAGTGGAGTGTGGTGTAGTGTACATACTTGTAGTTGTAGTTGTTGTAGTTGTAGTTGTACCCACAGACACCGTGTGTTGCCCAAGCCCAGAATAGCGTAAATTACAAGGATTTTTTGTTCACACTATACATCTCATATAAATTCTCCCACCCCCGTTAAACTTCTACATTCATTGAAGATTCTTCAATAAGGGTTTAATTCTCCCACCCCCGTTAAACTCTTACATTCATTGAAGATCTTCAATGAGGGTTTTATTCTCCCACCCCCGTTAAACTCTTCCATTCATTGAAGATCTTCAATAAGGGTTTAATTCTCCCACCCCCGTTAAACTCTTACATTCACTGAAGATCTTCAATATGAAGATCTTCAATAAGGGTTTAATTCTCCCACCCCCATTAAACTTCTACATTCATTGAAGATCTTCAATAAGGGTTTAATTCTCCCACCCCCGTTAAACTCTTACATTCATTGAAGATCTTCAATAAGGGTTTAATTCTCCCAACCCCGTTAAACTCTTACATTCATTGAAGATCTTCAATAAGGGTTTAATTCTCCCACCCCCGTTAAACTCTTCCATTCATTGAAGATCTTCAATAAGGGTTTAATTCTCCCACCCCCGTTAAACTCTTACATTCATTGAAGATCTTCAATAAGGGTTTAATTCTCCCACCCCCGTTAAACTCTTCCATTCATTGAAGATTCTTCAATAAGGGTTTAATTCTCCCACCCCCATTAAACTTCTACATTCATTGAAGATCTTCAATGAGGGTTTTATTCTCCCACCCCCGTTAAACTTCTACATTAATTGAAGATCTTCAATAAGGGTTTAATTCTCCCACCCCCGTTAAACTCTTACATTCATTGAAGATCTTCAATGAGGGTTTTATTCTCCCACCCCCGTTAAACTCTTCCATTCATTGAAGATCTTCAATAAGGGTTTAATTCTCCCACCCCCGTTAAACTCTTACATTCATTGAAGATCTTCAATAAGGGTTTAATTCTCCCAACTCCGTTAACCTCTTACATCCATTGAAGATCTTCAATCATCATCATCATCATCATCATCACCAACATGCCGGGAACGTCCCTGTAAATCTCCGGGCAACACAAGGCGTCTGGCCGTAGTTGTACTTGCCGTTGCGCTGGTAATTGTCGTAGTGCAATGTAGCGTATATAGTGTAGTGGAGTGTAGTGTAGTGTAATGGTGGTTGTAGTTGAGGCTGCTTGAAGACCCTCACGTTTTGCTAACTTTTGACAAGGTGCAGAATCCCTTGTGCCTGCTTCGCAAAACGACATCCGAACGTCGAAAAAGTGCTCCGAACCCTTTAATTTTTTATGTTTGACTTTGACATGCGCTTCGCGCCACAACGGCGTGCACTTTTTCGACATCTCAACGATTAAAAGTGTTCCGAACCTGGTGTGTCTTGTACATTTTGACTTGGAAATTTGCTTCGTGCCACAACGGCGTGCACTTTTTCGACATCTCAACTTCCAAAAGTGGTCCGAGACCGTCAATTTTTGGAAACGTGCTTCGCGCCACAACGGCGTCCACTTTTTCGACATCTCAACTTCTAAAAGTGCTCCGATGCTGAAGTGTTTTGCCACAAATCAATGGAAAACACAGTTAATCGCGACTTTCCTACCTTTTCGCGCACCTGCATCTTCTTTCTTCTCTCTCTTTCTCTTCTCTGATCTTCTTTCTTCTTCTCTTCTCTGACTCTTCCCATCTCTGCTTTTCATCTGTCCATATTGTCGGAAGTTTGACTTCTAAACTTCCTTCGGCCAAGAAGGTTAAAAAAAGGTAGGTGACCATTCGCAGAGCGCTCACATGGACCATTCGACAACGAAAGACATCACGTGTATTGTGCACCCGGTAGATCTTTGTTGTCAGGTGGTACTGTCCAGCAACCAATCATGTAGTATGTCTGTTGGAAGAATCATCTAACAAATTGTCACTGGTCAGTGCTGGTTCGTTGCCAATGTTGCAAGATGTTCAAGTAAGACACATATATATATAGGACAAAACATCAAGTGCGGGACTCGGGTGTCACAGTCCAGATCTGAATGGTATGTTGGGTTTGTGATTATGTTGGGGCTTACTTAACCATACAAGATGACAAACAAGTATTCGCTCCAAGTAACCACGATGGTGTCATCCCAGTGCCCCTCCCGTGCTCTTCCAGTTAAACATCCCGCAGATGAAATTACCTTGTCTACTGGAATGTCATATCCCCCCATAAAGCCGAGTGAAAAATGGGGGTTATATATATAATTTTACAAAAGCTTCGTTATCAAAATCCTATCAAATTCTATTACATTGGTTTCTTCCTTTTATATGTCATCCCAACGTGAGGAGAAGATTGGCTACAACGTGCTTGTGACGGGGCAGGGGCCAGGTACGACCACCGCCTTCTATGCCTTGACGGGCTGTGAGACACCCAACGACACCTGGCACTGTTGATTTGTAAAGATCTGTGGGCCCCCTAAAATCCGATAACTTGTATTTTTGTACCAGGCGTTAGAAATTGATTTTGACGGCGGCTCATATGTATAATGTGATATGTATACATAATATATACATATATAATATATATATATAATATAATATAATATATATATATAATATATAATATATATATACTATATATATATATATAATATATATATAATATACATATATATATAATATATATATATATATATATATATATATTTCCCCACATCACTGAGTGGGGTTCTTGTTTTTCGCTTGGATCCCGCCGGGGCACCGCCTTCGCCTCCGCCTCCTCCGCCGCCATCCATCATCCCTCCCTCCCTCCCTCCCTCCCATCCGCATCCCTCCCTCCCTCCCTCCCCCACCCTCCCATCCGTCCCTACCCCTCCCGCTCCCCCTCCCATCCCCCCCCTCCCCTCCCTCCCTCCCTCCCTCCCAGCCCGCCCCTCCCTCCCTCCCTCCCTCCCTACTCCCCTCACTTCAACGTCACTCACTCACTCACTCACTCACTCACTCACTCACCTCACACACACTCACTCACTCACCTCACACACACTCACTCACTCACTCACTCACACACCTCACTCCACTCACCTCACTCACACACACTCACTCACTCACTCACACTCACTCACTCACCTCACACTCACACTCACTCACTACTCACTCACTCACTCACTCACCCTCACTCACTCACTCACTCACTCACTCACTCACTCACTCACTCACTCACTCACTCACTCACTCACTCACTCACTCACTCACTCACTCACTCACTCACTACTTCTCACCTCTCCCTCATCATTCACCACTCATCACATCTCACTCATCATTCACCACTCTTCACTACACCACTTATCACATCTCACTCATCATTCACCACTCTTCACTACACCACTCATCACATCTCACTCATCATTCACCACTCTTCACTACACTACTTATCACATCTCACTCATCATTCACCACTCTTCACTACACTACTCATCACATCTCACTCTTGCGTGGCAGGCACAGTACACAGAGCTTCCTGGAGGAGCTGCGGCGCGCGTGGCCGCCGCTGGCCCGCAGCTGCCTTTTGCGTGGCAGGCGCAGTACACAGAGCTTCCTGGCGGAGCTGCGGCGCGCGTGGCCGCCGCTGGCCCGCGGCTGCCTTTTGCGTGGCAAGTGCAGTACACAGAGCTTCCTGGCGGAGCTGCGGCGCGCGTGGCCGCCGCTGGCCCGCGGCTGCCTTTTGCGTGGCAGGCGCAGTACATAGAGCCTCCTGGCGGAGCTGCGGCGCGCGTGGCCGCCGCTGGCCCGCGGCTACCATTTTGCTTGGCAGGCGCAGTACACAGAGCTTCCTAGCGGAGCTGCGGCGCGCGTGGCCGCCGCTGGCCCGCGGCTGCCTTTTGCGCACGCGCAGCAGGCACAGTACACAGAGCCCTGGCAGAGCTGCGGCGCGCGTGGCCGCTGCTGGCCCGCGGCTGCCTTTTGCGTGGCAGGCGCAGTACACAGAGCTCCTGGCGGAGCTGCGGCGCGCATGGCCGCCGCTGGCCCGCGGCTGCCTTTTAGCAGGCGCAGTACACAGAGCTTCCTGGAGGAGCTGCGGCGCGCGTGGCCGCCGCTGGCCCGCGATTGCCTTTTGCGTGGCAAGCGCAGTACACAGAGCCTCCTGGCGGAACTCCGCGCGCGTCGCCGTGCCCCATCGAGTCAAGCTACGTTGTGCCGGTCCTGCTTCGGCGGTCGACTGGATGCTCCGAGCCCAGCCTGGTCAAGTCTTTCAAGTCGTGCTTGGTCAGACGGAGAGTCTGGGTGAATATTCGGTCTTGTGGCATGTGCCGGTCGCAGCGGAACGGGTGCCGGCTGTGACGAGCTTTTGGAAGCACATCAGCATCACTGAAAGGAGGACGGTTTCAAGTTTGACAAAGATTGGAGCACTCCGTTGAAACGCCTTCGTGGCATGAGAGACGGCTTACCGCAAGAGGAACGTGACAGCGCCGCTTGGCTAGGAGACGCGTTCATGGCTTCTTGAAATTGTAGACTTCTTTTGGATGTGTCCGCATGTCGTGGTGATGAGTCGGTGTGACAATATCGCCTGCAAATTTTGATGGCAACGCGTGACTGTTTCAAAGTCTTGCACCAGTCGACTTTACTATACAAACCTGTTCATCATGAGTGTTTACGATGGATCCAGTCTACATGACCAAATCTATTGTCCTTGTTGGAAATACTCTTGGGTCATTGTGCTGTGGTGCGAGTCAACAGAAAGGATTGAAATCGCCGTCTCTCTTCGGACGTGCTGGCTATGTGTGAGTCGCTCTGACAAATTGTTCAGAGCATGCCTTTATTTTCTGTCATTTTGCTTTTGCATGTGCAGTCCGTCTTGTACTAGTAGATGGCACATTGCTCCCAGCAGATATGTTGTTATCATTGAACTTTCAGGTCAAGCAATGTTTGACAGGCACAGGCCTGCAGATGATGCGTCAATGTGTCGCGAAGTTGTCATTGCGTATTTGTTTTCCAGTCTCTTGATGCTGCACACGCATTTGAAATTATATTATTCAGAGCGGTTCAAACCACCAACCTGAGAACCAATTTGGGAAACACTTCTGTTCGACCTTTACGTTTAACAGGGAACATGCAGACAACAGTGCATCACTCCGCTACTTTCAGTCACATAGACTTCAGGTACCCTACACTGCACAGAATGATGACGCTTGAACTTGCGCGGCCTCTCTTGAAAAAGAGCTCGTGTGCTGCATGTATCATGTGCCGGGCTCTTGTTTTTCACTTGGATCCCGCCGCTCCTGTTCCCGCCTCCGCCGCCGTAGACTTATCATCACCACTCATCACAGCTCCACTTATCACATCACAACTGCTCATCACAACTCATCACAACTTATCACATACCAACTCATCACAGCTCCACTTCTCACACCTCACTCATCACAGCCCCACTGCTCATCACAACTCATCACAGCTCCACTTCTGACGGCTCCACTTCTCACCACAACTCATCACAACTTATCACGTCCCAACTCATCACAGCTCCACTTCAAACACCTCACTCATCACAACTCCACTGCTCATCACAACTAATCACAACTCCACTTCTGACAGGTCCACTTCTCATCACAACTCATCACAACTTATCACATCCCAACTCATCACAGTTCCACTTCTCACACCTCACTTCTCACAGCTCACTTATCACATCACAACTTATCACAACTTATCCCATCACAGCTCCACTTCTCACACCACTTCTCACACCTCAATTATCACATCAGAACTCATCACAGCTCCACTTCTCACACCTGACATCACAAGTCCACTTCTCACACCTCACTTCTCACACCTCCCCGAAGTTCACATTAAGCTTAGATACATAAAGGCTTGACATGTGGGGTTATCCGGTCCTTTTATTTTTTTTGCCACCTTGGTATTTCTTCTGGGCATATGATTTTCCCAGAACTGGTTCATGGGAACAAACCTAGGAAACCCCAATTCTGAGACATGAGGGATGGGTCCAATGCCAGACTCGGTGCTAACCTCGCTTAATTTAAATATTTTACGGTGAAAAACAAATCCAACGGTTGAAATGTCATTTTCGACCCACAATCAAAAACGAACGAAATGGCACGTCTTGACACAAATAGAGCTGCCAGCTCCATTTCCTAATAAAGCTGCAAATAGAACCGCCAGCAAATAGAGCCGCCAGCAGCTGGCGGCTCTATTTGGAGCTGGAAATGGAGCTGGCGGCTTTCTTTGAAGCTGGAAGCTCTAAAAAATAGAGCCGCGCCTCCATTCGGGTCATTCGGAGCTCCAAAAATAGAGCCGTAGCTTTATTTGTGCCAAGACGTGCTATTTCGCACGTTTTTGACGTGGTGGCACAGCAGAGAAACAACACTGTGATGCCTTCAGGTTCAAACAAGATAGATCAATACGTTTTCATTTAGAGTCAAGTACACGATGCTCGAGAACTTCAGATTGTTCACAAACATAATGATTGCGCCCAATTTATATACTCGAATGGAAAAGTCCTGAGGTTGTTTTTTTTCGAAACATCAACCACCACATAACTCATGACCTTTGCATTATGATATGACGTTTATGTAAACAGTTCATGCACTGGATTAGATTGGCGACGCCCCGCCCCGAGGACGTGAATGATGCAGGATGTGGAGATGGGCCAACTGGGACGATCCACCATGCACCGACGATTAAAAACTATCATGAATTACCCAACATTATACAGCCGTTGATGACTTCTTTGGGAAAAGCCTATTTCTGCTCATGATTGAGGAGTTTGCTTTTATTTTGATTCACCACATGTCCACGTGATATATTTTCCGGCTGCTTCTTGATGTCAAAGACCTCACACGGCATCCATGGCAAACGCCACTGGTTCAGGCAAAAAAAGGACATGCAATAGATAAGTTGAGTGTGGGAGGTCTTTGTTACCTTTGTTGCAATGGATAGATAGGCGAACGAAAACGGAAGCCAAGTTGGCTTTCACACTAAGATGCCAATCCCAGGTCCACAATTGGGTGATTTCATCCTTCTCCTTCCATTTGCAACATGTTGCAACTGGATAATATGAGTGGTTCTCACTTTGGGTTCACTTTCAGCATGTATCCGAATATTCCAACATCTCATCGCCATACCCATTTGCAAATGAGCATAGAGATGCGACCTGATGTGTTTCTCCATGTTTCTTCCTTGTTCTCAACAAGACAATTGGGATGTAAAAAACAGGCAGACACATGGACTTAACTCACAGCCAAATCTCGCGTTTTACCAGCTGGATTGTTACATCATCTTACACCAGCAGGTCCTGTTCCCAGCGTTGGTGCATCTGAAGGAATAAGTCTGACATAGACCGTGATATTTTGAAGGAAGGTTACGCAAGTTGCACAAGCTCATGCATGCACATGTAACATATACACAATAAGTACATCCCCATATTGTTGCTTGGTGACCCGCCCCCTCCATCCAGCTCGAATATGGGGATATCGGTCAAAGTCTAAACCCCGGAAGACCGCAGATTTTGATAGATTTTGTACATGTTCAAAACAAATATCTATATAATATCTTGAATTAGTGGGGTACCCAATCTTGTCACACACAATCCCACACATGTGCAATTACGCCAATATCGAGAACTAGTGAACCAGGTGGTAGTTTTGATGCCCTCGATAACTTCACAAAACTTGAGTGTGTCTAATTAATCTAAGTTATTAAAGCAGGCAACTAGCTATAAATCTTCACCTAATAGAAGGATTTGATCTAAAAGGTCCTTGGAGGGATTGCGCACCAGGAGTTTCATCATATGTCATATTTCTACTGTAAAACTGCTGGTGGATTGCCGCCACCTAAGTACACAGGCTAAAGCCGCTAAAGACAAACATGGGCTTCGCGACAGTTTGGCCAAAATTTGCTTGATTTTCGGCCAAGAATTGCCGTTTCAGGATGAAGCAATTTACATTAAACCCTGTGTATATTTATATATGATTATATAATATAATATGACTGATATGACATGTTTGGATAGATTTCAAATGCGGGTACACATTTCACATGAATCGCGAAGGTAAACGTAGAATAGGAAACACAAGAATTGCCATTACCTCCACCATGACCTTCCGTAGACCTAGCAACTTTTTTTTCACAAAATATTGGACTGACTAACTTAAGTGTTTGCGATCGGGTCCGCTCGATCCTCTCAGGTAAGCATTGAGGGTTGGACTCTTTACTATCCGACCGTTTGGGACGCGATCCAGAAGGATTATCCTGCAACCGCACCAGTGAGTTTTGGCGGCGCTTGGTCACTCAAAAGGTGATGTTCCTATTCCTACCATCATGGGTCTTATGACAACCACGATTTTCATTTGGTTGATGTTTAATTAAAAGACACGCAATTTGCCATCTTCACTTGATGTACGAATGATTGATCTGAAATCAAAGGCGCCACGGCTGGTGATCTTTAAATGTTCGGCCAATGTCATGGTAAGTATCTCAGCGATACCCTCATGAGCCAAATTTGCCATTGGTTCTTTCCGATTGGGTGCCCAGGAACTTGGGTGGCTCTGGCTACTATGGCAGGGAGTCAATGTACTTGCAAGCCTCCACGGTCGCGACCGCTTTAGACACCGATGGAGCTACTTTGGACTTCTTCCGTATCTTCGCGAAGATAATTTTAAGATTTGAGTCAAATCAAATTTGAATGCTGCTGTATGATTTGTTTACCAGTATAGTACCCGCACGAGGCGGGGCGGAAGTTCGGAAGTTGCCTTAGGGTTGTACATGGTTATACTATATATAGTTATAGACCTTTCTCATCTATAGAACTTGCATGCGCCATGCGCCCGTGCGCCGGCCGAGCCCGTGCGTGCAGGCTTTGTGCGAAAGTGGTGTGCTTTTGCAAAGCTCACTTGAAGCTCCACACTCCACACTTCACACTGCACTCTGAGAGCCCACTCCACACTTAACACTGACACTTCACACTCCACATCTCATCTCATCTCACCTCATCTCATCTCATCTGAGCTCTTCTCACCTCACCTCAGCTCTTCTCATGTCGTCATATCTCTTCTCATATATGTCATCTAAGTTCTTTTCTCAACTATGCCCGAAAGCGCCTGCGAAGGGTTTTCCCAAAAACGGTTGCCAAATTCAACTTTTCAGTCCATCTGCACAACATCTCCTATATCCTTTACATTGTTACATCACCATACATCACCTACATCATCTTCATCTATATCACATACATCATCTACGTCTCCTACATCTCGAACCGCGCTGCGATCTGCAAGCAGAGATTCCAAAAGACCCTATATAAAACTGCGCACAAACGAATAACCGCACGTTGCAGGTACCGTGAACCAATCACACCTCGAAACGAGCGTGGCCGCACCCGCCTCACACACGAGCTGCCCTTCATCCCCGGCTGCAGCCACTTTGCACGAAAAAAGACAATGTTTCTCAGCTTCGCGCTCCGACATCCTCCCCAACACAAGTCCCAAGCAACATTCATGCAACCATGACAATGCGTTGTGCACCACTTCCCCAAGTCACCACTTCTCAAAAAAAACATCATTTCTCTAAAAAGTCATCACTTCTCTGTGTCATCACTTTTCTTTGTCACCACGTCCATAAGTCACCACTTCCCTATAAGTCACCACACCACTTCCCTAAGTCACCACTTCCCCAAGTCACCACTTCCCTAAGCCACCATTTTTCTACAATTCCCTAAGTCATTACTTCCCTAAGTGCGCCCTAAGTGACCACATCCTTAACTCTCCACTTCCCTCAGTCATCACTTCCCTAAGTGCCCACTTCGCAAAGTCTCACAAATTTCTTTGTCCGGAACTCGGAAGCTGCTTCCCAACTTCCTTTGATGATAGGGACAACTTGAAGGTGCCCAATAGTTGCCCTTGTGATGGTAGTTGCGAAGTACTGGCTGGAACATCGTTTCTGTTGATCTGACAATACGACAATACGGACATTGAATGAAGTGGAAGCAACATATTCGTTGCAATCGAAGCAGGCGCAGCCACCTGAATTGCTGCGGAACTGCATTCCGTAATGCAAAAGTACGCTCCTTGAATGAAACCATTTTTTCCTTCCAGAATTTAAGCCGCATCACATCTCCGTTTTTTGGTTTCTTGCCATGTTTACGCACTGGCCTTTCCGTGGTTTCAGCTGGAGATAAGCGAAGGCAGCTACAATGTGTCATGGCATGACCAGTCGAAATACTTCGGGGGCATCAGCAGCGTCAACACCAGTCTCTTGAAGCCATGTCCGGAGACACGTTTGGTGGTCCACGAGGCTGGCCGCCCATTGGGTCCACCTGCTGTCCATTTGCGCAGTTGACCCGGTGCAGGTGATGCAGTTCTACGCGGATTTCACGGGGGACCACGATGGTGTCGAAACGGTGCAAAACAAAACCCGCGGAAAATGCTGGGATGGAGGCTTGCCTTTGATGTTTCATGGTGTTTAAATGATCTTAAAATATCTTAAATGCTTGATGTATCTTAATGCCGCCATGCTTGGATTGTACATTAAAATTCAAGGACCAGTTAACCCCACACGTAATGCCTCCGATTGTTATGAGACGAAGGTGATGACTTGGGATGGTGGGAGCAGATGATGATTGGATGGGGAAGAGGTAGGTGGGTAGAAAGATAGATAGTTAGACAGACAGACAGACAGCCTTTACACAGGGAAGCCTCTACACAGGGAAGTCTTTACACCGAGCAGTTTTTACACAAAGCACCTTTTACACACAGAAGCTTTTCCACAGAGAAGCCTCTACACACAGAGGCTTTTAGACACACCAGCTTTTACACAAAAGCCTTTTACACATCAAAGCTTTTACACAGAGCAGATTTTACACACAGAAGCTTTTACGCAGGGAAGCCCTTACACAGAGCACCTTTCACACAAAGGCGCTTTCCACACAGACGCTTTTACACACAGAAGCTTTTACACACATAGCAGCTTTTACACAGAGCAGCTTTTACACACAAAGCAGCTTTTACACACATAGCAGCTTTTACAAACAGTCTTTTACGCAGGGAAGCTCTTACACAGACCACCTTTCACACAAAGGCAGCTTTTACACACAGACGCTTTTGCACAGAGCAGCTTTTTACACACAGACACTTTTACACACAGAAGCTTTTACACACATAGCAGCTTTTACACAGAGCAGCTTTTACACACAGAAGTATTTACACAGAAAACCCTTTACATACAGACGCTTTACACGCCGAGCAGCTTTTACACGCAGACAATTTTACACAGAGAAGACTTTACACAGAGACCCTGTTACACACAGACGCTTTTACACAGACACTTTTCACACAGAGCAGCTCCTACACACGGAAGCTTTTACACAGAGCAGCCTTTGCACGCTGACACTTTTACGCAAAGGCACTTTTACACACAGAAGCTTTTACACAGAGAAGCCTTTGCAGAGAGCAGCTCCTACACACGGAAGCTTTTACACAGAGCAGCCTTTTGCACGCTGACACTTTTACGCAAAGGCACTTTTACACACAGAAGCTTGCCTTTGCACAGAGCAGCTTTTACACACAGAAGTATTTACACAGAGAAGCCTTTACACACAGAAGCTTTTACACCGGGCAGCTTTTACACAGAAGCCTTTTACACACAGACGCCTCTACACACAGAGCACCTTTTTCACACAGAGCACCTTTTACACACAGCAGAGCAGCTTTTACGCACAGAAGCTTTGACACAAGAAGCCTTAACCAGTCTGAAAGCAGTCTGAAACCCAGTCTGAAGCCAATCTGAAACAGCCTGAAACAGTTTGAAACCCGTCCGAAACCAGCTTGAAACCAGTCCGAAACTAGTTTGACAACAGTTTGAAACCAGCGGAAACCAGTTTGAAACAAGTCTGAAACCAGTTTAGAACCAGTCTGAAACCAGACTGAAACCAGTCTGAAACCAGAGTGAAACCAGTTTGAAACCAGTTTGAAACCAGCCTGAAACCAGCCTGAAACCAGTTTTGAAACCAGTCTGAAACAAGTTTAAAACAAGTTTGAAACCAGTCTGAAAGCATTCTGAAACCAATCCGAAACCAGTATTTGAAACCAGCCTGAAACCAGTCTGAAACCATTCAGAAGGGTTTCAGGCTGGTTTGATTTAGACTTTTTCAGATTGGTTTCAGACTGGTTTCAGATTGGTTTCACCAAGTCGACAGAGAGTCACCAAGGGCCGTGCCTGCCATGCGAAGCAGTCGCGGCATCAAGCGTCCAGAGGCTCCACAGAGAGTCACCAAGTGCCGCGCCTGCCACGCGAGACAGCCGCGCGTCAAGTGTCCAGAGGCTCTACACAGAGTCGCCAAGTGCCGCGCCTTCCACACGAGACAGCCGCGGCGTCAAGCGTCCAGAGGCCTTACACAGAGTCACCAAGTGCCGCGCCTGCCACGCCAAACCAGCGAGACAGAAAAGTTGATAGACAAGACAATCCCAGTCTCAGGGTCCAGCCTACTCATAAATACTCAGAACCCCCCCAAAAAATAAAGCGAACAAAATCCACTGCAGCTGCAGCGGCAGCTGTGTAAAGCACCTCGCTTTACTGCAATTTCACCACAGCGCGGAGCCTTGCGGTAACAGGCACATGGGCCACGCTAGCATCAACTACTCAAACTGTAAGCGCTGCTGCTCTTGCTGCAAGCAGACTCACTGTCACTCTGCCGCGGCTGTCTCGCGTGGCAGGCATGGCACTCCTTCCCGTGGCAGGCGCTGTGCTTGGTTTCAGACTGGTTTCAATCTGGTTTCAAACTGGTTTCAGATTGGTTTCAGACTGGTTTCAATCCTACTAGTTTCAGATTGGTTTCAGAGTGCTTTCAGATTGGTTTCAAAGTGGTTCCAGACTGGTTTCAACCTGGTTACAGACTTGTTTCAGTGGTTTCAAAACTGGTTTCCAGAGTGGGTTTCAGATTGGTTTCAAACTGGTTTCAGTCTGGTTTCAGACCGGTTTTAAATAGACCAGACTGGCTTCAAAGCGGTTTGACAAGTTGATTGATAGAGACATGTTGATAGAGACAACTTGATAGAGACAAGTAGATGTATAAGATATATAGAGACAGGTAGATACTAGTAGAGACAAGTGGATAGAGACAAGCTAGACAAGTTGATAGAGACAAGTTGATAGAGACAAGTTGATAGAGACAAGTTGGTAGAGACAAGTTGACATAGACAAGTTGATAGAGACAAGTTGATCTAGACAAGTTGATATAGACAAGTTGGTAGAGACAAGCTGATAGAGACAAGTTGAAAGAGAGGCAGCGGGAGGCGGGAGGCGGGCGGGCAGATGGTGAACAACAAGTTAGAACCCCACATGATGATGCGGGGAAAATTTATTGATAAATTGGGTGGAAACCGGAACCTTTAGACTACATATTGAGATACCTTCACCAAGTTTATATACCAGAAATTCATTCATCTTGGATTTACACTTGTTGATGCCATGGAAATGGCGAGCACCGAAGAATATTTGGTATAGCCAGCGATGCGAGACGCTTTGATACTTACCATGGGAACAGCTCATCGTTCCTGGGGCCATTGACATTCCTTCGGGTTGACGTGAACACACATGGCAAAGGGAGAATTTTTTTAAGGCGCATGCTGACTTCTGATGAACTAGCGGTTTCCACTAGCCAAAACTACAAATTCAGAAAACATATGGGTCTTTGGAATCCATTTTGGACAGGGGGTTCGTGTTCACATTCTTATTATCTTATTTCCGTCCTCAGCCCATCCGAGGGCTTCCACGGGTTTCCTGTCACTAAGGATATTTCTGGCTCCCACCGGCCTGCCGGACTGACCGCAGCAAGTGCATTCTCTTCGTGACGGGAGGTGCCAATGGTCAAAGACTCAAGGTGGAATTTCGGTGCCCCAACCCAGATTCCATCAAGGAAAGATCGGAATATCAACATGTTTTGGATGTCGAATCAGCTTCTTCGGTGTAATCAGCCTCTTCAGCAAGGCTCTCTTTTAATGCGCTCTCTCCCTCTCCCTCTCCCTCTCCCTCTCCCTCTCACTCTCCCTCTCCCTCTACCTCTACCTCTCCATCTCCCTCTCACTACCCTCCCCTCTCCCTCTCCATCTTCCTCCCTCCCCCTTCCCCTCCCTCCACTCCCCCTCCCCCTCCCCCCTCCCCTCCCCTCCCTCCCCCTCCCCCTCCCCATCCCCCGCCCTCCCCTCCCCTCCCTCTCTCTCTTCCTCGCTCTCTCTCTCTCTCTCTCTCCCTCTCCCTCTCCCGCTCCCTCTCCCTTCCTCTCCCCCTCTCCCCGCTTCCCCTCCCTCCCTCCTCCCTCCCCTCTAGCGCTGGACCTCTAATTTGCATGTCAACGCAACGTGTCACCATACATCTCAGACTCTGCATTTAGCAATTTATCGTACATAGTATTTATATATATATATGGTTTGGTGTGTGTGTGTGAAACCCGTTATCACATACGGAATTTTGATATAACTGTATGCTACGACAACAGGGACTGAGTTCTTCAGACCACAACCTTTAATTCAGAAATGCAGGGGGCTGGAGTGTGAATCAGAAGTCTCCAGCCAACGAAGACGCTTCTGATGTCACAGTGATATCAACCTGGGACGCTAGGTTGATGACGTACCTGCAATGTTGGTTCGAACTTTTGCACAAGCTGTCCTATTACCTTGTTTTTGAGTCCTTTGGCAAGAATCGATTGACCGAATTTCACCGTTTGCAACCGTGCCCCATCGAAGGTGACTTAGGAAATCAGGCGACGGCAAGTTCTACTCTCATCATCATCAAATCAACCTAAGCAGTGTGTTTGGGTGAACTCACTGACTTGTGAGCACCGTCGATCTGCTTCGTGCGGGTCTAGATCTGGTCACCGGCTGCTCCGGTGGATAGTGGAATGTCCAGTTGGGACAGTCTGGATTCGAAGTGGTTGTTATGTCAACCACAGGATTACTCCACTTTAGGAGCGAATTATGACAGTTTGTCATACTTCAACGGATTAGTCCCACCGATGGACGGATTAGTCCCTTCGGAGGACCAGGATTAATCCCTATAGGGATGGATTAACCCTTCGGGGGGTCTCACCCGTTGTCTTACCCAAGTCCGATCCTTACTCAGAACCACAACTGGTCGTCGGTCGCTCTGGTGTTGAACAGTTGGCCGCAGTTTGGGCACTCACCTTTTTGCACACGTCTAAGTAAAGTGGAACAGTAGGCCTATTCAGCTTTTCACCCGTCGGTCGCTCTGGTGTTGAACAGTTGGCCGCAGTCACCTTTTTGCACACCTTTCAGTATTGTGGAACAGTAGGCCTTTTCAGCTTTTCATCTGTCGGTCGCTCTGGTGTTGAACAGTCGGCCGCAGTTTGGGCACTCACCTTTTTGCACACGCCTAAGTAAAGTGGAACAGTAGGCCTATTCAGCTTTTCACCCGTCGGTCGCTCTGGTGTTGAACAGTTGGCCGCAGTTTGGGCACTCACCTTTTTACTAAACAACTCTCCGAGGGTGAGTCTGACAATTTAACTACTCGTATTGTCTATCATCGCCCTACGGGGCTTGTGTGTGTGAAACCCGTTATCACATACGGAATTTTGATATAACTGTATGCTACGACAACAGGGACTGAGTTCTTCAGACCACAACCTTTAATTCAGAAATGCAGGGGGCTGGAGTGTGAATCAGAAGTCTCCAGCCAACGAAGACGCTTCTGATGTCACAGTGATATCAACCTGGGACGCTAGGTTGACGTACCTGCAATGTTGGTTCGAACTTTTGCACAAGCTGTTCTATTACCTTGTTTTTGAGTCCTTTGGCAAGAATCGATTGACCGAATTTCACCGTTTGCAACCGTGCCCCATCGAAGGTGACTTAGGAAATCAGGCGACGGCAAGTTCTACTCTCATCATCATCAAATCAACCTAAGCAGTGTGTGTTTGTTTCGACAAACATTCCTGATAAAATGTTAAGATTGTGGGTACAACGTTAGAACATATGTCAAATAAACAACGAGAAAACATACTAGATAAAATGTTGCTAATATTGCAGACGGAATGTACGGCAGACAATGTGTCAGATAAAGTACCACACTATGCCACAGATAAGATGTCAGACTTTCAGATGCCAGATGAAATTCCAAATGTCAAATTTGTTCAGCATGACTCCCTGCTGCATGGATGACACGCACAAACTGAGAAGTGTCAACTGGCATGAAGCACAACATGTGTATCGTTTGCACAGTGGCTCGAATAGCCTGTGACAAAAAGGCTGGGCAACTGCCGTGCTCCGCATTTTAGCATGGCAGCGGAGCCATCGTGGCGGCCTTGCTGGCGTTGGTGGGCGCTTGCGCTGGTGGTGGCGCTTGCAGCTGGATTTGCTGGTGAGCATAGCACGCACCACCGCAAATTCGACATAGCGGTTGGTGACTAATTATGGGGATTGGAGCCCTGCACCACGCCATTTTGAGCTCGAAGACCTGATGATGGTGGCCAACTACTCCCTGGGCTTTGAGGAGAACTTCGAGATGACGCCTAGCTTCGGAGCTTTGGTGACCTACGAGGATGCCAAGACCTTCCTGGAATCTCATGGCTGCTCATGGATGGGTATGTGCTGTGGAAGAATGGAATGGTGGATTGGAACCACTGTGAAGAGGATTGGAGCCTCTATGGAATTGGCACTGAAGATTGGAACCTCATCCCATTGTGGGCAGCTGCAATCATTGCGTGGGTCTTGGACTATGTGGACATGCCATTGCATAGCATGTGCTTGGGCTTCTATATGAAACACATGTTCTCTGTGGAGAACATGTTTGTCCTGTTGGCCAATGACATCATGTGCAGCATTTGGCATCTTCATCATCTTCCTGGTGAACAAGTCCAACAAGATGGTGGGGAGAAAACGGTTGAAGAGATTGAGCCGCTTGAGCCATTGCCGAGGTCCCTACAGTGGCCCTACAGGAGAACCTGCAGATGGAATGGGAACCTATCTTCAAGGTGGACTTAAGGATGAAAGGCATGGTGCTCCTGATGATGTACACGCAAACATCGGCTTTGGATGCAGCTCAAGCCACAAACCTTCTTGGTAGAATCATGGAGCTCTCAACAGCAGCAACTACGGCGGCTACAACGGCCAATCAGATGCTGGAGGCTTTCAACTCTGGTGGAGGCAAAGGGGCACCTAGGTTTGGTGATGGAGCCAAGCTGCTTCGAGCACCAGAAGTATTCGACACAGATGGCCTTGTGAAATATACCAGCTGGCGTGAGCAATTCCTCAACTGGCTCACTTTCTGTATGGAAGGTACTCCGACCTGATGAAGGACGTTGAGCAGCTGGAAACAATGACAGAGATGGCCACTTTGGAGGCACCTGTGCAGGAGTTGGCCATGAAACTGTACTCCATCTTGTCCTCGCACTTGCAAGGACCTGCCTTGCAGATTGTGAGGGCCCATTCTTCTCAGAGGTGGATTTGCAGTCTGTCATCGGCTGAAACAGCTCTATGCCCCACGTGCCAGGCCGAGGGCATTGGCCATTGGACAGGCCATCATGCAACATCCAACCTTCCCTCAGCAGAGATCTATGTTGGAGAACTTGCTGCAGTTCGACATGCTCTTGGACCAGTATGAACTTGCAGCTGGACATAGAGTGCCTGACGACCTCACTGTCAGTACGGTCTTGCGCTGCTTGGGTAGTGCCACACGCAGGCACTTGGAGAGGATCATGGACGAGGGGATGGACTATGCTGCCCTGAAGGACAAGCTCATCCTCTTGGATAAGAGCACAAAAGCCTGGTCAAGTGACAACTTCCTCAGAAACCTTCAGGTCTCCAACCTCTTCTGCCTATCAAGGACCTGTACCAATGGAAGTTGATCAGGCGCAGTATCGGCACAAAGGGAAGAGCAAGGGAAAGAGCAAATCAAAAGGAGACAAGGGATGCTGGTTTGGTTTCCCATACGGTGGAAGGTCTGGAGGAAATCAGAAAGGTGGATACAAGGGCAAATCGAAACAGAAGGGCAAGAAAGGAGGCAAAGGAAAGAACAAAGGAAAACAACAAAAGGGTAAAGGATATGGTGGTGGAAACAGTAACAACACCTGCAGAATGGCCACTGGGGGAATGAATGCCTTCTCAAGAACCGTGTGAATCAAGTTGCTGGCTCTGGAAATGCTTCTGCTGAAGCTCAAGGAGTTCCCAATGACACCACAAGCACAACGGGATCGGTGTCAATGCGGAGGGCCGCTATGTCAGGATGGTTCAACCTTGTGGTTCAGAATGGATGCTGGTGACGATGATCAACCTGGTGAAGTTTGCTAGTCTGGTGACCCTCTCTTTGATTGGTACCATTGACTTCCCTGCGCTTTGGATCGGTGCCAAGGTGTCAATGAGGAGGACGAGCTCTTCCACGTTCGAGCTGTCCCAGCTGCTGGTCAATTGGTTGTTCTGGATTCTCGAGCTGACATCAGCCTCTTGCCCTACCACACGAGTGGATGTGGTACTTCACGACCTGGTGGACGTACCATCTTGGAAGATGCCCAAGGAGAACGCCTTGACCTATGGGAAACGGTCTACACGTGTAGAATGTGAAGGCCTCAACAACGACCTGCGGTGATCGAGGATGATTTCATCGTGGCTTCAGTTAAAAGCCCCCTGATCTCTTTGGGGAGGTTACTGCATCGCAGATGGAGCCTTGCACCCAATGAACATGCCAGTGCAAGGGTGACCTTGGTAGCTCCTGATGGAGAAGCTATGGTACCTTTGCAATTCAAGCGCAATTCTTTGGCAGTGTGCGCTAGCATCAGAGTAGTCAAAGAGGTCTCTGGGGCTTCTTCAACATCCACGCGTCCCAGAACCCCTAAGCAGGTGACTGAGCTCAGGATGGAAAAGGTGAGTGGCGCATCTTCAAAAGAGGTTGAGCAACATCAAGCACTGGAAACCCCTTTATCATCATGCCTGAGTCCAAGAATTACCTCAATCCTCATTTGGCCTACCCTCGTGCTGATTGGCCCCGACGCGCAACTCCCATCCAACTTGAGGATTACACAGGGAAAATGTGGAGTTTTGCAATCAACACTACGTCTCTGTCTCTGACTATGTGGATTCAGAGATTGAGGAGTGCAACAAGCCCACTTTTGTCCTCACGATGCTGCATAAGCAAGAGGAGCGATTCACAGTCTTTGGACAAGTTGGAGCACAAGAGATGGTTAAAGCTGGCGGATCAAATGGTGATCCCAACCTTTTCACATTCCCTGAGGAACTCAAGGTTTTGTATGGAGATGGCTGAGCACTACAAGCTTGAGGAGGTTGATAAAGTTGATCCACATGGAGCTGGTGGTGAATCTGCCCCTGTTTTTGAGTGGCAGTTCGAGAACAAGGACACCTTGGTGGTGAACGATGAACCTCTGAAGATGGACAGCAGCATTGGTTTTCTGCGCGCAGCTGCTGAATACCTAGGGGTTTCAAAGAATGGCAACAAGCAGAAAGTCCAGACCTTGGAACACGAACAGCTCTTCCTTGACTCCAACCGTTTGTACAAGGATGAACAGTGGAAACAAGGTCTTGGGGGACAATCAATTCCCAGGACACCTTCAGAAGAGGTGGCATTGCACGAGTTGTCGCAAGTGCCCTACCGAGATTGGGGCCTTCATTGCGTGAGTTGCAAGGACAACCAAGATCCACAAAGGCCTGTTGAATTTTCGGGTCGGGTCCTTCCCGTTGCATAAGGGCCCGCGGGCCCGTTGTGCCCGTACGGGCCCGTAGAGGCTGTAGAGCCCGTATATAGAGCCCGTAGTAAGGGCCCGCATAACGGCCCGTAGGGCCCGTGGAGCCCGTGGAGCCCTTAATGAGCATAAGGCCCGTCTTTCTTACAGTATATCCGACACGCATTGTGGCTTTTTCTAGCCGACGTATATATTAAAAATCTATTTGACATTGTATCTGGTATTTTTCTGACATATATTCTGATATTCTATCAGGCAGTCGTTCTTGCAGTATATCCAACTCGAAATCTGGCTCTTTCTAGCCAACGTATATATGAACATTCTATCTGCCACGTTAGGATATACATAGAACGGCGCGACCGTGACTAGATTTGTAGCTGTTGAGCGAGCGTAGTGACCCGTGTTTTTCCCTGGGAGGCTTTAGGGTGGGAACTTTATTCACATAAGTAGCAGGGCTATGACCATTTTTGGTTGCACCAAACGCCCTCTCTTTCTCATAAGTCCCCGTGCCCTTCGCTTAGTATAGCGCAGCTACGAAGGTGATCTTAATGTAAACCGTCTCACGCGTGTGGGAACAAATGCATGTTTTTGCGTCGGATGTTCGTTGTGTTCAGAATGTTTTTTTCAAGAAGTGGCAGTGCCGTATGGTAATGCACAGATGATTCAGAAACATCTGGCCTATGGGGCGTAGAAAAAGACATCGAAGTCCTTGGATAGATCTCAGCATCCCCTTCCCCAGTAACGAATGTATTCTTGACAGACGTTCAGATGCCCCTGTGATGTTAGCATGTTTTTGCTGTTCATATCACAACATCCTTGTGGCTTGTAGCTTGTCCGTTGTCATGCTTGATGTGGTGAGTCCAAACAGACAAGAGACCAGCGCTTCATCTCTAAAAAAGGGGTCTGTTTGCTGCCGTGTCAAACAGAAATCGTTTTCCGCAGACTTGCGAGAGTTTCCCACAGAATCAGTATCTGTATGTATATGTCTTGCTATTTTTCAAGTATAGACATATGTATATATATATGTGTGTGTGTAGAGTATCTATATCTAATTAAAGTTAAAGAGTCAGATACTTAGTCTTGTTAAATACTAGTGCATACTAGTGCATCCAATTTTACAAATAGTACCCGATACTTTGCCATTTGTGTTATTGACAAATGTTTTTTTGATCGTTGGGTGTATCTGTTGCTTACCGTATGAATCAGCATTTTTTGTTGCCTTCCGCTCAGGTCTGGAGAATTTCACTTTCTTGTTTGAAACTTTTGAGTACGTTCGAATCTTTCCATTCTTCTGTAACCGTAAGGCCCGTAAGGCGCGTAGAGCCCGTAAGGCCCGTAGAGCCCGTAGAGCCCGTAAGGCCCGTAGGGCCCGTAAGGCCCGTAGAGCCCGTAGAGCCCGTAGAGCCCGTGGAGCCCGTTGTCGTTCAGAAGGGCTCTTCTTGAATTTTCCACTGATGACCGGCGCTCAATCCCAAGTATTGTGGTTGACTACTGTTACTCCAAGGTTGATGAGGCTGATCCTGTTTCAAAAGTGCTGGTGGCAATCGACTGCCAAAGCAAGATGCTGTTGGCAATGCCTCTTGCTTCAAAAGGGCCCAACCTTCGAGGTCAAGCTGAAAGTTTGGTACATTTTTCAATGGCTCTCAACCACATGAGCCAGGTGGAGTTTGTCAGCGACGCTGAACCCACAATGAAGTCACTGCTGGCAAGTGTTCAAGTCAACACTTGGGTTACCCCACAACTGTGACCCACTCCCGACCAGGAGATAAAGGACGCACTGCAAGTTGAACGAGCCATCCAGACAGACCCTTCGAAAGCAGAGCAGCACTCTGGTGCAAATATGCTCCCTGCGTTTGCCCAGTGACCACGCACTCTGGCCTTGGTCTTTTGTACATGGAGCATGGCTGTTGAACAGGTTCCGCAGTCATTCAACTACAAAGACCTCAGCCTTTGAGTTGGTTCATGGAAGGAGACATGCTGGGAAAATTGCCTTATTTGGCGAGGTGGTACTGGTCTTGCATGGACAAGGACCCAACACCAAAGCTGGTCCTCAATGGGTTCCTGGAGTTTGGCTGACCAAGACCCATGGCGATGATCTACATGTGGTGGCAACGCCTGAAGGTTTGCTGAAGGGTAAAGCCATCAGAAGGCTTATACAGACCCGTGGAGACCTGCGTGGTTGCTCATGGTTCAGGAGAAGCCCTTCCAGAAGTTCACCAGGACCTCCCACTCCAAAACCTGTGGTGGAACGACAAGAGAAGCTTCCTGAAGAAGCCATTGACTATGACGCCAGGGATGTGATTGACTATGCCAGGACACATCCACCGAGTCCTGTGAGTGACGCTGGAATGCCTGAAGCCGAGGAGACCAATCGAAGTCATGGAGGAGAATGTTTTTCACCTCACAAGTCAACCAAGTTGGATGTGGCTGCAACTGGTGGAGAAAAGGCTGCTTTGGATGACAGCAATGTCAGAGAACCGGAAACAAAGGTTCCAAAGACAATCCCTGAAGGCAGCCTCTCTTCGTCTTCAAGTCGCCTTTTTGCCCTTCACTATGCTGGCAACATTCAACATGTCATGGAGGTTGGAGAGGTGGACGATGAACAATGGGAAGAAGATATAGCTGGATACCTTGAGCCTGATTGGGTAGCTCTTGGTGATGGTGATGGAGATGATGATCAAGTTGATGAAGGTCGATCCCCTGAAGTTGACCCTGATGAGCTGGCGCAATTGGATGAGGCAGCTGGCTTTGAGGAGATCGCGAGACTCTTGGAGATGAAGGTGATCGAGGAACCATCTGTGGAAGACCTTGAACAAGCCGTGGTTCTTTGCACGAGGAGTGTCATGGACTGGCGCTTCAGAAATCAGAAGTGGCAACGACGATGCAGGTATGTTGCCCGAGAATTTCGAGCTGGAGACAAAAGGTCAGCAGCAACCTTTGCACCCACTTCAGGTGCTGGTGCCCAGTTGGTTCTGGTGGCTGTTGCTTTCAATGGCTGCTGGCATTTCTGGACATCAAGGATAGATTTCTGTTGGTTCCCCAGCGTGAGAAGATCCTTGTGGAGAAGCCCTCTTGGTGGTCTGACATAGTAGTCCGTGGAATGTATAAATCAAACTGGGGCTCATTTGTTGAGCAATGGTTTTTCCAGCAGGATTACCAAGACAGCTTTCCAAGCAACATTCCATGGGACTCAGATTCGTAGCGAAGTTCCAACTCATGGAACTCATTGAAACTTCGAGGCGGAGTGTCAAATTTGTTCAGCATGACCCCTTGCTGCATGGATGGCACGCACAAACTGAGAAGTGTCAACTGGCATGAAGCACAACATTTGTTTCGTTTGCACAGTGGCTCGAATACCCTGTGACAAAAAGGCTGGACAACTGCCGTGCCCCGCATTTTAGCACAAAATGTATCACAGGTACTGTAAACCGCTAGCCGCTAGAATGTACAGTGCTGTATGTCACACACATTTTTTTTGGAATATGTCGCAAGGAAGATGTCAGAAAAGTAAATGAACAAGGTGTCAGGTTAAAGGCCAAATCACGCGCTGGAGTATGTGGCAGAACATATGTGAGAATATATGCCGGGATATATTGCAGATACTGTCAGATCGTAAACATTCAATAAAAATTAAGAAAACATGACAAATAAAATGCCACAAGTTACCACGGATAATGGCTTCAAATATGTCCGACGCAGCAAATTGCCAGAATACATCGCAGAGACTATGGGTTCTCGAAATGCAAAACTAGAAATCTGTTTGTTTCCATGCCCCTTTTATACTTACATCACATCTCTTTGAGTAGGTATACCGCAATATATAAAGTACATTTCGATTTTTTGTCGCTCTGCCAGCCGGTTGTTTTTGCTGTTGGGGTAAGATCATGGAGGAACATGCCACATCATGCCAGCAAATCCTGCTCGTTGAACTTCATGTCACTCTGAATACATTGTTTTAACTGTTTAACTATCAAACGATAAATTTCCAATAGTTGATAAGAACCTGTTGGGTTATATGATGCTGTATCGTGTTGTATCTACAATCCCTTGAATATATATATATAATACATTGATGACCATGTTGAAATATAGTTTGATTTGTATTGTATTATGTACTACAGGCAAAACCAAAAAGGCGGGATGATCATCCCAAATTTCAAGGTGATACTCATCCAATTTCAATTGGAATATTTTTTTCTCAACCACCCGTTCCACATCAAACACATGTTTATGGTTGGTAATTTCGCCCAAAATTTGATGGTTTATGATAAGTTTGACGACTAGGCACCCAGATGTTTTTCAGATTGTCAAACCCAGTTTGCTTGCAGAATGCGTCCACGACATATTGGACGTTTGGTGGAAATAAACCATACCCATATTCGGGAAAGTCTTATTTCCTTGGGCAAGACAGCAAAACATAAAAGCAATAGAAAATGAAGCAACTCCCCTCTGGTCATTCAACATAGCTATTGAAAATGACCCATTTCGATACATGATGATTTACCCTTTGGTAATTTAACACAGCTATGGAAAATCACCATTTTCATTAGGTAAACCATCTATAAATGGGCCATCTGTAGCAGTTCGCAAAGCGTTCTGGGTAGATCTGCAGGCGCTGGATGGACGATCGAAGGCACCATGCAAAAGGCCACAGTGTGGAACATGCCCATCGCGCCCATCGTGGCAAAAGATTGGGGCAGCTTTGTGGACCTCCCCAAACAGGTGAAATCGACTGAAAATTGGGGCGGATTTGACCCAGTTTTCCGGTGTTTTCTGCATTGGGAACTAAGAATAATTTTCAGTATATAGAAGCAAAAACCATGATGCTGGCTTAGGAGAATCCCCAACCAGCTGGCCCCCAAGAAAGACTCTGACTGTTGTCCTCATTGGTAGACCACACAGTGTCCGGAGAGCCACCGGTCGCATCCAGGTGGCATGCCTCTTCTACTGGTGGGAGCCAGATCCCACTTTCCTGCTTTTGGATCCTACAGAGATGACCTTTCCAGCGCACCTGAAGCAAGAATGGTCCCAAGGGATCCAAACCTCTGCCGGGCAACAGGCAAGGGGTCCGATTGAAGCAGGTCATTCATTGAAAGCCAGTGGTGCTGGTCATCAACTTGAAAATATATAACTGTTTTGTGCCGAATGACGGTATCATTTTGTAGATGCTATTAGCTGGAGCACGGTTGTACCGATATACACAATGCGGTTGTTAGGAGGATATGAATATAATTACTGGTTGGTGGTTTGGAAGATTTTTTATTTTTCCATATATTGGGAATAATCATCCCGACTGACTTATATTTTTCAGAGGGTTGAAACCACCAACCAGATTATCATATATGATCAGCTCAATCAAATTAACGTTTTCTCTTTTTATTGTACCAGCGACAGTTTGGCACATTTTTTTCGGAATCCCAGGATGCCCAGACTCAAGATGGGTCCAAGCGCCAGCCCTCCCAACACGACTGGTTTAACCGTTCCCGCGCATCTATAGCTGTCCCCAGAAAAACAAGAACATGGGAATTGATTCGTCACTTTTTCTACGTTTCGTTGAGGGTGTCCCTTCAAATTCCATTTGTTCAGGATATTTTGATACCCGCAAAAGATTCCTCTCCATTATCAGGACCCCTAGGGGTCCACCAAAACCATTTTCTTCGACAACCTATGTGCCTGCAGCTGCAACGATATGCAATTACGGGTTCCTGATTTTGGGAGAGGGAGCATTTTGTAGATGGCTGAAACTGTAGGTTCCTCCTTCTGTAGAGGTTTTGGGGTCTGTCAACATTCAAATATGCAAAATATATTGATTTTACAGGTTTCTCATTTTTTAAGAGAAATGGTGGAACGCATGTTTTCGACTTGCTTGCTCAACGCCCGCTCCTGTCGGAAATGTGGAACAGGAGTTTCCCTCTACACAATGGACGTTTGTACATTTCATGGTTTTTAGGGGAGACCAAGGTTCTTTCACATCACCCCTCTACAAAATGGACTTTTGTATTTTTGAGGGCTTGCTTTGTTCCAGGTAGCCATTCTGCTTATGTGTGCTCATGCCAGGTGCCCCACTTTGTAGAGGCCAGTGGCTCTTATAATCCTAAAAGTGCATTCAAAAAAAAGCGGGTTGGGTTGGGTGCCATGATTTTGTAGAGGAAACATCTTGCTACATTTTTGGCAGGTTCCTCATTCTGCAAGGGCCTGGGGCCCAAAAACCAGATTTGGCTCTACAGAATGGGAACACCCAACCCCCCCAGTGGAAAATTTGGGGGTATATATTTTGGTCACAGGAGCCACTCGCAAAATCCTCATTGAACACTTTAGAGGAAAAGGTTTACCAGCAAGCAATTACATGAAGAACTGAGGCTTAAATGTTTGCGTAAACAATCAAATTTGATGGTTTGGTCTCCCAGTTGAACAAGTTAAGCAGCGAAAAGAGAATGACATGCTCACTTAGCTTAATCCTGGTAGTCTGGCAGCCCGGCATTCACTATGATATGAGATGAAAATTAAACCGGAAGAATGCAAGCAGATATTGAACAACAAAACGCGATGGAGGTGCCCATTTGCTTGTCATTTGCGTTTTACTTACTTACTTATATGACGCGTATCTATCTGGTGTTTTTGTTTATGTTTTTCTTTTGCATGTGTTTTTGCATTTGCTGCTCTACTTTGCCACCTGTCACCTTATAATTTGTATGATTATTGTTTTGACTTTCTCATTATTTGGGATTGAGGCCATTTGCAGCCTCCCATGCTGACATCCTTGACTGTATGCCAGCGCATTGGTCTTGCAGACTTGTGCGCATGTTATTGACAGTTTCAGAAGCGACAGGCTGAATTAGGAATACCCAGTATTAACCCAGTGACACCCATGTCTTAATAGTATCACTTTGCGGGGGGGTCAAATAGACTCTATTTGCATTCATCAAACTAAATCCACAACCCACCATCCAGTCACGCCTTGGCTGCTGCTTCGCTCCTGGCCCTGCTGGTATTGCTGCTGATGCACCACAGGGATCCATTTCTTCAACTGACGTTACTCTATCGAAGCCGCGGTCTATCCGTGCGCAAAAAAGCAGCCACAGTGCGAAACCTAATTCTAGAACTTAGGTTGTATACAAGTTGAATACAGCTTTGTCCAGGCATGTTCACCTTTGTTTAAAAGCTCCAACATGCAGATCTGTTCCATACATTGAAAAGTGATAGGCCCGCAAGAGTCATACCTCTTTGTGTGTTTGAGCCACTGCAAGACTTCAAGACAAGGGTTCTGGCCACCGGCTTTTATCATGTCACATGTCGATGTTTTGCAAGCCAGAAAACACACATTGATCTGAGAGCTTGACTCATCTTGGTAGGTTCGCATTGACAAGTACGTCAGCTACGACTTGCAGGACCTTGCTCCGAATATTGTGGCCTTGGTGCGGGCCATGGATATTGACGCCCGGCAATCAGTGAGGGGGTGGCAAAATATTGCTGCACATGCATGTTTGTAGGACATATTAAATTCTATGTGAACAACTGTGTGAGAACATACACATACTATATATATACCATCTATATTTCCTCACCTGCCAGGTGAGGGTTGTTAGATTTTATCACAGTTGTTCTTCTCCTCCGTCTCCTCCTCCTCCTCATCCTCCACCTCCTTCTCCTCCTCCTCCCTCTCCTCCAGCTTCTCCTCCACCACCTTTGCATCCACTCCCATGTTCACTTCCGCCTTGCGAACGTTTCGCCAAGCTCTTCGCCAACTTCCGCACGCAGTGGGCACTGCTGGACCTCAACTGCAAGGGTCTGAGGGCACTGGGCACCGCTGAATCCTCAACCTGGGACCTTCCGAGCTCAGTGAGCACCGCTTGACCTCAACCTGGGACCCTCCGAGCTCAGTGAGCACCGCTGGACCTCAACCTGGGACCCTCCGAGCTCAGTGAGCACCGCTGGACCTCAACGGCCAGATAGAATGCCAGAAGATATGCCAGATAGAACGCCAGATAGGATGCCAGAGCCAGAAGATAGAAGATATGCCAGGATAGAATGCCAGAAGATATGCCAGATAGAATGCCAGATAGATATGCCAGATAAAATGCCAGAAGATATGTATGCCAGATAGAATGCCAGAAGATTTGCCAGATATGCCAGAACAAAAGATAGTATAGATGAATGCCAGAAGATATGCCAGATATGCCAGATAGATATGTCAGATATGCCAATGCCAGAAGATTTGCCAGAAGTATAGAGTCAATATTATATATACCATGTGTATATAACTACTATTATGTATATATGTATATACTTATAATTGTACAAAAAACTGGGGCCTACTAGCGCAAAAACGCTGACTTTGGGGGCTGACTGGGAATTATGTAGTAGAATGTTTGGATTCAGGTTGAAACATAGATTGATTGCCACTTTGGGCAAGGAATGCTTTTGGGGCAAAAATTTGCATATGGCAAACTAGTGCTTGATGCATTTTAAAAAATTACGTTGGAGTTTTCCCTTACATGTTCAACGCCATGCTTTTCAAACTTGGGTCAAAACAAGTCGGGCAAAAATACTCAGGAATCAGGTGGAAATGCCCGGAATTCAGGGGAGAATTTTCGAGGCAAGGTCAAAAACGTCTGTTGGCCATAGTTTGTTTCTGGGGGAGTCGCATGTCCAGAAACGATGGAGCAGACATGGATGCTAGGCAGTGTGAACAAGAAACCTTTCGGCAAGGGTTTTACTTGAAGTTCAGGATAGAATTACGGAAGAAAGGGCCAGGCCATCTCAGGCTCAAATTATGAATTGCTGACGTCAAAGGTGTACCTATGAATTTATATACCGCGTATACCCGTGTATATATATATAACTGTTTTGGAGGTTTGTTTGTGGTGTGTTGCGTGGATTTGTTTCAATTCTGACAAACATAATACTTTGAATGAAACACTGAATCCTTTTTTTCTCAGAAATGCTGTGCATGCCCAAGGAGTGCATGTGGTTGCTTGCATTTGGAGATTGATCCAAATGTGTGTTTTGATTATATCCATGAGCACGTTCGCCTTTGGGGATGTCGCAAAGACACGACGTCATATCATGGCGAAAGACAAGAAGAGAGATAAGTATCTGGTTATTTAACAGTTTGGTCTGGAAACCATGGCCCTTTGAAATAGATGATAATGATGATTTACCCTTTTAAATGTCTTTAAGCATGGTGACTTTCCAGTTCGCGTTACGCGTTCGTCATAACCAGAGGGATAAGTATCTGCGTGCAGGTGACCTTTAGGGGCGCCTTTTTTTTCTTCTGTTCTTACAATTCTCATCTGGTACCTCTTGGACTCTCAAGTGGCAATTTAACTTTGTAGCTCTCTCAACTTCCGTTGCTGATTTGAGGACATGACAGAGGTTCAGGAACTGATGATGGATCAGCTCAATTCCGGTGATGATGCAACAACAGTGGCTTGCAGATGGCTGCAAGGTCGCCAAAATGTCTGGCAGCCATGGTTGCCCGACTCCTCGAAGTGCTTCCCACAATTCGGCCTCTACAAAGAGGTCACCAGCAGCTTCGTTCCTTTGTGATGCGCGAAGACCTGCAGCTTTGCGTTTTGAGACCACAATTTCATACAAAGTTAGTCAGGTCATCCAGGTCCAAATCCATTCGTGTGGGCCCAACAAATAATCCACATGTAGATAAGACAGGGATGGTATGGGTAGGTATGGGTTAGATAGGGCTAGACCTCCGTAACTTAAAGTTGTTGCCTGAGATCAGTTTAAATTCTGTTCTTCAAGGGTTTTGTTGTTGTGGCTGTTGTTCCTCTTTTTTGAGGGTTGTTTTTGTATTGTGTGTTCTTTCTGTCTATTCCTTGTTTATTTGTTTTGTATATTGTTGTTCAGTTTGGTTTTATTTTGGTTTTGATATTGTTTGGCAAACAAAGAGTCGGGAAAATAATGAATCAATGCAGTGAAATGCAATGAAATGACATGAAATGATTTGACATGACATGAAAGAATTTATTTGATGACATGAACGAAATCAAACGAATTAAAATTGATTGAAATGAATGAATGAATGCATTGAATTGAATAGAGGAATGGAATGGAATGGAACTGAATGATTTGAATTGAACTGAATTGAACTGAACTTAATTGAATTGAACTTAATTGAATTGAATGAATTGAATTGAATTGAGTTGAATTGAATTGAGTTGAATTGAATTGAATTAAATGAATGAATGAATTGAAATTAAATGACATGAAATGAAATGAAATGTTATGGAATGAAGGAAGGAAGGAAGGAAAGAAGGAATGAAATGAAACGAACGAAAGAAGGAGGAAGGCAGGAATGAATGACTGAATGAATGAATGAAGTCCGGAGTTTAATGAAACCACTTTCCATTTTCACACCTTGAGTTATAAACCAAACTATTCTTTTGACAAAAGTCAACACTGTCCAGAACGGCAGTGGCATACACCAAATTGAAGTATTATAATTGGATTGAAATGAGCACAAAGTACAATGATTTTAACAAGCATTGTTCGCCATTGATATGATCAACAATCATTGATTGATGTATGTCAACAAAATACAATGTATGTATATATATATATATACTATTATATACGTATTAATATTACCCACAGGGTATGGCCCGGAGGGCCATACCCGAGAGCAAAGCTAGCAACCCATTGGTTCAATCATCCCAGTGTTAGGGGATTTCCTTGTCATAACATGTCCTTGGCATAATCTCCCGGCCCCATGGAACATATACGCATACTTCTATTAGGGGTTTCATTTAGGGACTACATAAGTTATAAAATCCCCGGCCCCATGCAACATATACGCATACTTCTATTAGGGGTTTCATTTAGGGACTACATAAGTTATAAAATCCCCCGGCCCCATGGTCTTTTAGGGCTTACAAAAGTTATAAAATCACCCGGACCCATGGAACATATACGCATACTTGTATTAGGGGTTTCATTTAGGGTTTACATAAGGTATGAAGTCCCCCGGCCCCATGGAGCATATACGCATACTTCTGTTATTATTTTTTTAAGGGTTTACATAAGTTGTAAAATCCGGACCCGCCAAAAAAATGGAAAAGATTGAAAAAGTGGAAATGACCGAAATGCGTGAAGTCCGCAGAGGGTTCACTTTTCTGACTGATTTTTCCAAAAATTTGTCTTAGACCACACTAACCTACAGATGTACCAGAGTCATAAAACACTGCGCCTGCGCAGAGAAATGAGCCTCCCACTGACGTTCATACAACCATTCCGGGACAACCCTCAGTCCTGCCCGTAATATTATTATTTTTACTTTGTTTTAAATATTTTTATATATATACTATTATCTATTATTACTTTCAATATATATATATAGTAAGACGCACGGAGATACATAGTGTTATGAGTTGCTTACCAGCAGGTTCTGTGTCAGAGCAAATCATTGGTTTCCATTATTTTTGTCATTACTGCGTATCGTTTGTTTCGTTTTTTTGTCATTTGGGAATGTCATTGTTCTGTCATGTTTTGTCATCTCTCCTTTTTTTGGTGCCCGGCATTTGCGGCAGAAATTGAAAATGTATGTCGCAAATCGTACCTTTCCTCCGGTTTTGTCATTTTTTGTCATTTTTGTTGTGGTACTTTCTCTTTTTTTCAAACCGGAATTTGCGGCACGCGACAATGATGGAAACATGACAGAAAATTGACACTCAAATGACAAAAAATGACAAATTAATTAATAAATGACAAGCCCAAACGACAAACACATTACAAAAAATACCAAACAGCGACACAGTAAATATTTATGGATTTCCAGGTTCTGCTCTCCAAGGTAACTCGTAAACATATTGGTTCTAGTATTTTACACCCCCAGGCGAGCTGGACTTCGTGAGACTGCAAAGAATGCAGCTGTCAGTGTGGCTGAATATTCAAACCCAACAAACTTCCAAAGCAAAAGTCCATTTGCAAAATTGCAAAAAGCTTGAAAGCCACATTCGACTCGGTTTCCCAACGCCAATGAGAGGAGATGCAACCAGCTATCAGGAGATCCAGCGACCGCAAGGATCGTCCCGGTACTGTAGCGGTTTGCGTTGCATTGCTGGAATGGAAGCTCTGAGTGTTTGCTGTGAACAAATCGCTGTCCAAACAGCAGGATATTTCCCAAAAGCTAGGTGGATAGGTAAGTGTACAGTATACATATATATTTTTGTGTTTTAATCCAAATGACATTTAAAAATGGTTCGTTGCACTTCACAATCCAGAACCGGAAAACATAATGCTGCCAGTAATGGCATTGTTTTGCGTCAGTCATTCCTCTTGCCTTTAGTATGTCGCAGGTAAGAAACAAACAATAAATGTACCACGTATACGACATAAACTACATTCATACATACTATACGTACATACATACACACAAATGCAGGCAGCCAGGCAGGCAGCCAGGCAGACAAACAGACAGACAGACACACGCACAGCCATACATATAGACATCCAAACATACATGCATACATGCATACACAGTTACACATACACATACACACATACACATACATACACATACATATACATATACATACGCGTACATACACGTACATACACGTACATACGTATACATACACATACACATAGTTTTTTACATATACATACATACACATACATACACATACATATACATACATACACACACATACACATACATACACACATACATACATACATACACACATACATACATACATACATACATACATACATACATATATACATACATGCATGCATGCATGCATACATACATACACACACATACATGCATACATACATACATACATACATACACATACATACACATACATACACACACACATACATACATGCTTGCGTGCATGCATACATACATACACACACATACATATTTACATACACACATAGATACACACATACATACACATACATACACATACACATACATACATACATACATACATACACATACACATACATACATGCTTGCATGCATGCATGCATACATACATACATACACACATACATATTTACATACACACATACATACACACATACATACACACATACATACATACATACATACATCCATCCATGCATGCATGCATACATACATACATACATACATACACACACATACATACATACATCCATGCAGACAGACAGACAGACAGACAGACAGACAGAAGGTAAATATGTTGGCATTTGCTCAATGTGTTTGTCATTCTCACATTTCCAATCAGCGTGTTCACCGTTTTTTTTTACATCAAAACCATGTTTTGGCCGGGTGAATTTTGTGCTCAAACCTCCTCTGTCAGGCTACCTTTTTAAACACAAATTACCTAACACAAGCTTGAATGTGATTTTAAGAAGTTGCCATCCATGATCCTCCACGTCTCACGAGGTTCAAGACCGCAATGATCCAGCCGGGCTAATTTGCAGAGCTTGTGAGTCTGGATTCTTCTCAGTGCAGCTGGAGGATGATAAGGGTACAACACATGCGACTCGTCACTGCCTGCGTGTTTTTGGGAGTCGTCATTGATGTGTTTTGCACGTTTTTTTTAAAGATGTTGGTTTTCCCAAATAGGCACATTCTGAGGTGGGTGTTCAGGGGATTGGTGTCATCCCATCCCAAAATATTCGCGACGAATCGGCTGCGTAGTTGCTGCTGTCGAATTTTGGATGCGCTTTGTGATCATTTTTCCAGAAATATTAAATGTACATATCACCTCACCTTCTTGTGTCGGACTTCATAAGAGCATCGATCTAAAGGTTGAGCAACCGAGGTGTGCAAGCCGTGCACCCCAGGCTCTGCCCAACCTTCAGGGGCCGCTATCGCGTGTGATCCTTGTAGCGCTGGTGAATACCAAGATGCATTTGGGCAGGCAGTTTGTATGCGTTGCCCACAAGGCAGCTACCAGGACAGGAAGGGACAAAGCCACTGCAAAAGGTGCCCGGTCGCAACAAGCACCTTGGGCCTTGGATCCAATGGGCCTGAAGAGTGTAGATGTGAAGCTGGCAGCATTAACATGGAAAGCAACGGTCTCCGCTGTGCGTCTTGTGGAGAAGGCATGGTGTGCCCTTTTGCATCAACTGTGGATGCATTACAAAACGGCACTTCCGATGCGAGTGAGAAGTATATAGCAAAGATCGCAGAGGGCTACTACAGCCGTGTGGACAGTCCAACGAGTGCCTTGGTCTGCTGATGGTGTTTCCCCTTTGGCCCCAACGGTCAAACAATCAATGTTGAATTATTTGAGCGAGGGCGATGATTGGTTGCCGCTGGGCATCCATGACAAAATGTCATTAATGTCAAAGGGAACTGGGACTTGGGAGCACCATGGCCATGGACTCTGGAGAATTCCTACCCCAGTGATTGACATGTTGCAGATTGCAGGGGCCGTAGTAAAGGATGTATTCATGTATTCTTTATCCACAGGCCATAGCCCAAAGGCTTACCGGATTGATGATTGTTGCCGAATTTCCCCATGTTTGGGTAGGTATGCTGTTTGGTTTGAGACGTGCTGTGTACTTTCTTTGTTGTTCAAAAGCAGTCCAATCCCACATATTTTTGAGGGTGGTATTCATATTGTCTTTGAAGCATCAGCGGAGTTGCCCCAGGTATCTTCAAATGCACCGAAAAGAGGCGTTGTCCTGGCGGTCTGGCAGGAACCTGCGCGGGAGGTCTGATCAACGCTCCGTGTGCAGAATGCCCTCCTGGGCAAACGTGGAGCGGTGACAAGTGCGTGGGCTGCGATGCGCTTACGATTCTTGATTTAGTGAGTCTTGAGTTGTCAGGGATTCCTGGTAATAAACATGTGCTTCTATGATGGGACAGGTGAAGCATTGGGACGGGTGTTTCTGACTTTGTCAAAAGAGGTCCTGGCGTTTGATCCAATGTTTTACTATGACATTATTATGCCTTGACCTTATACATTGACTCTGTGCAGAACATGTGCAAGTGTCAGGACAGCATTTTGGTGGGTGGTTCCTATCCTGCTTCCGTCTATAGTTGCAGTGTCCTACTACGTGACCAACCCAAAGGTGACAGCAAAGGCATCCACTCGACAAGCGGCATCAGCAGGCGTTGCTTTGTTCATTTTATTGGTACAGACCGTGACTTGGCTTGAATTGGGCCCGTTTTTCTTTCCCAAGACCGCCTGAGCGTGGGGTTCTTCTTTAAAAAAATCAGCTGAGATAACATGTTCACATCTTACATACATCTTACATCAGCACACCTTACATCTTCACATCGTGCATTTGCACATCTTCCGTCTTCACATTTGATGTTTGCACATCTTACATCTGCGCACCTTCCGTCTGCACATCTTACATCTTCACATCTTGCATTTGCGCATCATACATCTGCAGACCTTATGTTTCCACGTCTTTTACCTTCACATCCTACATCTTTCCATCTGACGTCTGCACATCTTACATCTGCACACCTTCCGTCTTCACATCTGACATCTTCACATCTAACGTACTCACAAATTTCACCTTTTACATCTGCACAACTTTCGTATTCACATCGTAAAAATGACATGTCTCTCCTCTCTCTTCTCTTTTCTCTCTTCTCTCTTGTCTCTTCTCTCTTGCCTCTTGCCTCTTGTCTCTTCTCTCTTCGCTCTTCTCTCTTCTCTCTTCTCTGTTCTCTGTTCTCTCTTCTCTGTTCTCTCTTCTCTCTTGTGTCTTCTCTTGTCTCTCTTCTCTCTTCTCTCTTCTCTCTCCCTCTCCCTCCCTCCCTCTCTCTCTCTCTCTCTCCCCCTCTCCCTCTCTCCCTTTCCCTCTCACTCTCTCCCTCCCTCTCCCTCTCTCCCTCTCCGTCTCTCCCTCTCCGTGTCTCTCTCTCTCTCTCTCTCCTTCTCTCTCTCTCTCTCTCTCTCTCTCGCTTCCCTCTCCCGCACACAGCAAGCTTTTACACACAGAAGCCTTTACACAGAAAGCTTTTACACAGAGGAGATTTTACACACAGAAGCCTTACGTGCAACAGCACCAGAAATTTGCCACCGCCCAAAAAAGGATGAGTTAATCGCTTTTCAAAGGGAATTCTTAAAGGAATCAGCGCCAAAATTGAGAAACATCTGCTGACAAACCCCCATCGCAACCTCGATGCAGCCACGTTAATACGATTTGCGATGCCACCAACAAGTGGCAAACACGCATGTATCTACGCACATGGCAGCACAACATGGCAACAATCACGCAGCCATTCCAATGCGATCTGCAACCGCAGGCTCCACAAGACCGTCACACCACACACGCCACAAGACCATCTCCCCAGCACAACTCCCCTGCAACATTCATGCATCCATTGCAATGCGATCTGCACCACCAAGTGGCAAACACGCGTGTATTTAAAATCTACGCGCATTGCAAGACAACATTGCAACAATCATGCTGCCATCCCAATGCGATCCGCAACCAGTGTGAATGCGGATGCCACAAGACCATGGAATTACGCGCGCAGGAACAAACCTAAAACACTGTTAAACTTCCGGGCCATGGGAGAACCAGAAAAACATCAAAACGACGGCAGCCACACATGCGTCACAAACCCGATAGCCGTCATCGCAAGCGGCAGCCACTTTACACGCGAAAACAATGTTTGGCGCTCCGGCATCCTCCCAAGCCCCATGCAACAGTCACGCAGCCATTCCAACACTTCCATACGTCAAAACCTCCCTAAGTCAACCCACTTCACAAAGCCACCGCTTCTCTTAGCCGCCATTTCCCCAAGTCACCGCTTCGCTGGGTCACCACTCCCCCAAGTCATCACTTCCCCAAGCCATCACTGCCCCAAGCCATCACTGCCCCACTACTTCTCTAGGTCACCACTTCCCTAAGTCATCACCTCCTCAAGTCGCCACTTCCCTAGGCCACCACGCTGCTCCAAGTCATTACTTGTATTGTTGTGCACGTATATTGTTTTTGCTTTTCCAGACTTCCGTAACTTGAAGGATTGCTTCCCAACTTCTTTTTTATCATACAGTATACATCTGAGTAACGATGCGTCTTTACGCTCTCGGGCCACCGGTCGTCTAGCTGTTTTCGGACCATGTGATGGGCGTGTGGCATCTGAGCAAAGACCTAAAAGGTTCATGCAGAAACCTCTACATGAGAGGTCCTATGGTTTAAAAAAATGTGTCGCAAACCATGGAAAGCGATATGGTGAACTATTGAAAGCAATAACGTGATTTTATGGTGAAGTTGGAAGGTGTTGTTGTTATTCGCAGCCATGTGGGATTGTATAGCAACCTCGTGTGCATTGTTTTTGTATTCGTCGAACAAGAATCTTGGGGCTCCCTAGAGACCCAGAGGTGCTCCCACAAGGCCTAGAGTACGCACTCCTGACCACAGAGCTTGCTGCCAAAACCTGTCACGGCACAGGCTCTGGAAAGCAGAGACTGTGCTTGAGAAACAAAATCTTGACATTCTTGACATATTTCATGATTTCACCAGAAGGAATTATCGATAACCAAATCGATAACCTAGCAATAACCAAAAATTGCCAAAAGGGGCCCCGGGCGGACAGAGACCCAATCCATCCCTGGAGTGGTCCACTCCAATTCCGTCAAGTCTTGAAACATCTACTTCACGTGGCCCAGCTTGGCCTAGAAATATTAACCCTATCATAAGATAGCTTTTGTCTCACGATCCAAAGACGTGAACAGAATCTGCAGAAGCAGAAGGCATGCAACAGTGCAAAAACCAAGCTGTTCTGAGGGGAAATTCCTTCCGCACTTTGAAGACAAACAGTGGGCAGCAGACTGCTGACCATGAAGTGCCCCTGTTGTTGATGTGGAGACGAATGGAAACGGATCTCCAAATCAATAGCCGTAGCTTGACATGCCACAGGCAAAACCATGTAAAGCGATAGAGCGAAACTACCTAAAACGATAACTCTCCTCATGACCGCCTTTGTGATCCTTAGTTCTGGTCCCAGCTTATCTGGTGTGGCTCGTGACAAAGCCGTACTTGTATCACAACATAAGAATGAGTGCGCCCTGGTAGAGTAATCGGCGTAGTCATCCTAGCCATAACAAACCAGAACAGACTCTACCTTTGCAGCGGGGTTGCTTGTGGCAGCCTTATGCAGAACTGTTTTGTCCTGCTTGTTGTTCTTGTTCTTGTTTTGGTTGTTGTTGTTGTTGTCCTTGTCCTTGTCCTTGTCCTTGTCGTTGCTGTTGCTGTTGCTGTTGCAATTGCTGTTGTTGTTGTTGTTGTTGTTGCTGTTGCTGTTGCTGTTGTGTAGTTGGTTGGGTGTGGTTGGGTGTGGTTGGGTGTGGTAGGGTGGGTGGTTGGGTAGTTGGGTGTTGTGTTGGTTGATTGTTGTGTTGGTTGCTTGTTGTGTTGGTTATTTGTTGTGTTGCTTGTTTGTTGTGTTGGTGTGTTGGTTGTTTGTTGTGTTGGTTGGTTGTTGGGTTGGTTGGTTGGTTGGTTGGTTGGTTGGTTGGTTGGTTGGTTGGTTGGTTGGTTGGTTGGTTGGTTGGTTGGTTCAATGTACAAATTCAACATGGCTTACCAACATTAGCCTATGGATCAAGGCCCTGAGCCAACTCATAGCTGGCAACAGTTGCAGCAGAGTGCGTACACAGCAAAAGCTTCAGCAGTTGCACTGCAACAGCAAGTGCTTGAAACGTCTTGCGCGTTTACATGGTAGGGGAGCTCTGCTTTACCAGGGGCATCTCCAAGCAACAGCAGTAAACAACAGGGCTCGACAATACTGCACACAACACCCAAGGAACCACACACCAAACAACAAGGTTCCGACCTGGTGTCCGCGCGCGCCCATCTTGGGCGGCGCTCTCACAGTGCCATCGGACACTTCTTTTCATACCTCCAGCCACGCCTTGTCTTTGGTGATGTCGGCAAAGTCTCTGGGGGAGAGCCCAGCAAGTTAGCACGGGCATGTCGGTAAAGAGACAGGCATGACAAGAGCTCTTTCAAGCCAGGTTTATCCCAAAGACATGTGGGCTTCTGGCGCATCCGTGCTTCGAGCATTTCCCCCATTTGAAGACCCGGGGAGGCTTCACCCTTTGCAGGTTTTTGGTCAGGGTGGAAACTGAGGACGACGAGGTCGCCATTGTCACCACATTGTCACCACGCCGTCATCTTTGCCCATGTCCTTGTCCGAGAGTGCCTGCGGGAGTTCCGCTGCTTGATGGTGTCTCTATACTTCGCTGCAAACCATTACATGCCTATGTTAATCAACATTGATACGTGTGAAAAACCCAGAAACCATTTTTTTTAGATTAGCTGTACCCCAGCAGACGGCGCCTCTGCATGCATGCGCCGAAAGGTCGGTAGCAGTCGGTCGTCTTCCGGGAAAAAATCCAGCTTCAAACGTAAATGTGGTGGACTTTCATCTCCATGGATTTCAGAAAGGATTTCGATGTCAGATACATCTTCAAGTGACTGTGCGTAAGCGACGCTTTCTTCTGTGGGCTGCACATTGATGTTTTCTCTGCCCATAGCTGCACGCCTGCGCCACGGATAGACGAAAGTGTAGCAAAACATTCTGACATACTTCTTTTTCGGAGGTTCGGGGTTGCAAACCAAAAAGAAAACCAAACATCATGCCAAGCGACTCGTGCATCTCCGCCACCTCGCACATGATCCAATGCAGAGAATGCAACCTCAAAGAGGACCAGATTTCGCCAGCGATGCGTTCCGGATCTCTTTGTAACCGAGAATATCTGGACGCCAGGAACCCCCTGGCCTGCGCTGCCTGGCTTTGATCCACAGTTGATCGTCGTACAGCTCTCAGCCAAGCATCCCGCAAGCATTGTATGTATCGATTCAAACTGTTCAAATCATGTGCACGGATGAGAATCTCTTGCACCCGGTAGACACCATCCACGGCTGCAGTCAAGCCGTCCCATGACCTCCCGTGAGTGATCGAAAAAACGTACTGCAAATCATCCAAGTCGGAAATGGTCAAAGAGAACCATGGCAGAAGCACCGGGGGAGGAGAGACATGAAGAAGAAGTTTAAGGAGTATGATGGGAGTCAAAGACTCCAATACAATCTTAGCCTGGCTCTGACACGGCTACGGGGAAGGTCCACTAAATCAGGAATTGTTTTGGACAGCACAACTTGCTGTTCATTTACAT